CCACCTCCCACCAAATGTCCCCCAGCTTGCTTTCCCCCATGATAAAGCCACTGAGACTGAAGTTCTGGAGTACAATGTGGCCTGACATGCCAAGAATGAGGATGGGATTGAGTCTTCCTTGGTTTTAGAGCCCTGGCTACACATTGAAACCAAGGCTGAAGCTCTTTAGAAATCCAAACTCTTCACTTCCCCTTCCCCACCCACACATCCCAGGTCCTGATTCAGAAGGTCTGGGTGCAGCAAGGAATAGACAGTGTTTCCAGAGCTTCCCAGGTGATTCTGATTGATATCAAAATGGAGAGCCACTGGGCTCAGTATTCCACTTTAATTCACCAGCCTGAGTCTGTCCGCTTTTTTGGCAGCCTTTTCATTTGACTCATATGGAACTGGCTGTCAGCGAAAACCCTCAGTTTTATTCACACATGCTTCTGCTAAGCCGCTACTTCCCCACCCTGTCCTTGTACAGTCGGTGCCTTGGAGCCAAGCCCAGATCTCTCAGTTAAGCCCTGTTCATTTTACCTTGTGAGGTTCAGGCTATTGCTCCAGCAGGTTAGGATGTCTGGGGATCCTGAGTGTGTCTCTCAACACCTTCCCTGTCCTCACTGGCTTCCTGCTACTTGCAAAGTTGAAGGGCTGGTTCACTGGGCTTTGCCCGGGTCCTGATAAAAAGATGGACCAGGATAGGAGTAAGGATGGAACCAATCAATCAGTTCTGAGGGCATTCCTTATGCAGAAGTCACCATGCCTACCTGGAGAAGACTGTGTCTAACTTATTCCCATCACACTCTGAAAACAGGTCCATTTTCACAGACAGATAAACTGAGGCAGAGAAAATGAGAAATGTGTCCAAGAACAGCCTGTGGGAGGAAGAGGCAATCCTTTTCCTGCTGTTTTCAGCTCTCATCTCTAGGTTTATCATCTCTCAGGGGAAAGTGACAAGGTTGGCCCTTCTGAATGGAAAGATTTTTAGAGTTGGAATGAATCTTGGAAATGATCAAAAGCTTAAAGATCAGAGAGATCAGGTAACCTGCCACGATCTCATAGCAAACCTATTCCCCAGGTGAGATTGAAATCAACGTTTCTTGAGGATGGATCCAGGCTTCCCCTAGCTATACCTCCATGTAAGTTTTATCCAAAATGATACTTCAAAGGGAAACACACATGGGGACTGCTTCTTTTCCACTTTGAAGTCCCAGATGGTTTCTTTTATGATTCTAGGAGGAATTGGCATGGGAGGACAGGCAACATCTTCCTCTTGGGTTTCTGCAGAAAACTCTTGATCACCTGCTTTCTTCCCTAAGGGATTAGAAGCTCAGCACCTGCTACCCAGCCTTGTCCATGCCTGCATTCATACTCAACTCTCAGCATGCCTTTGGTGGCTGGGTCCAGAGCCACAGCTGGACATATAGCCAGACTAACAGACAGCCCCTGTTCCTTACTCGCATGCCTGCCTCATCAGCCGTGGGGGCTGTGATGATGTGAAGGTGGTGGGAGGCTTGTGCTTGTCCATGATGTGAGCCCTTGTGCTTATGATGTCATGAGTACAGGCTGCTTGACAGACAGTCTGCTTCAGGAGACTTCTACAACCAGGAGCATCCCTAGCTCAATCTGCCCTGGGAAGTGTAGGATCACATCTTGGCATCAGCCCCTGATCCACACAAACTGCCGAAAAAGAATCCAAAGAGCAAGTCAGTGCAGATGCTTGTGGAAAGGATAGCAATATATACTGAGGAGAAAGTAATGAGAAACTGATTTTCTCCTGTCTGTGTCTGCTAACAAGTAATATTATTAACAACAACAACAACAAAAATAATGATAATACTATTGTGCTCATGTGCAGGTCCTGTATAAGTACTTTACACCCATTATATAATTTAATTCTTACAGAATCCTGTGAGGCATAACGACCCCCATTTTACAGGTGAGAAAGCTGAGGCACAGGAAGGTTAGATATCACAAGACAAACCAGCTAGTAGGTGGCTGGGTTCATAGAGCAGTGATCCCAGCCTGGCTCCCCGTGCCTGACTAGGAAATCGATCTCCAAGGATGCAACATCTGAGCCATTTTCATTTCAAAAGTAAGCTGGCCACTGGCCCAAGACTCACCACAGGGCTCTGGGCTCCTGAACCCCACTGCTTCATCAGGTAAATCATGGCAACAGGTGAGAAACCCACCTAATCTGACTCTCTCATTTGTCTGGTAACTGGGCCACCCACAGACCTAAGTTCAATTTCCACTACTAAACTTCTCTGATGAACAGGTAGAAAAACCAAAAAGCATGGGGTCCCCACACAGAGCTGCCAGGTGAGCAAGTGACCTCAGGACCTGCCTATGGGGCTCCAGGCCACCTGGATCTCCATGGGAGACAGCACCCTGTTGCAGTTAAGTTCTCACAGCCTTCTACCACCCAAAGCTTGGCCATACCAAACTCTCCAGCATACCTATCTCCACAACTGACACAGACCCTCCAGAGGCTTCCCTGGGCATCTGCCCTCCGCAGATTCCCAAACTTTCCCCAGGAGGCCCGTGCTTTCTAGTGCGCCCAGCAGGGGGCACCCTCACTCTTCCTCCTTCTGCCCTGGGGGTGAGATTGGGAGACCGGTGTGAGGCACTCTCTACTCAGCTCAGCCCAGGAGCCAGTTTCCCAAACTGGGTATTCATGTGACCTCTCTGATTTTCTCTATATCCACTTTACCATTAACTACACAATATTTTTGTCATTCATATTTTAAAATGCCTAAATGTATTTTTGAAGGAAAATATGCCCTCTGGGCTTCCCTGGTGACGCAGACAGGAAAGAATCTGCCTGCAATGCAGGAGACCCAGGTTCCGTCCCTGGGTCAGGAAGATCCCCTGGAGAAGGAAATGGCAACCTGCTGCAGTATTCTTGCCTGGAAAATTCCATGGACAGAAGAGCCTGGCTGGCTACAGTCCATGGGTTTGCAAAGAGTCAAATAAGACTGAGCATCTAACACTTTCACTTTCAAACACTCTTTGATGAACGTCTACCCCCCCTCCCTTTGCTGCATGGGTCTCCTGTATTCTGGGGTTTGCTTTGCAGGATGTGGGCAGGAGAGGACAGTTGAAGCTATAGCTGGGGGTCTCAAGAACTGAATGTGTGATGGGGAGGGAGGGTCAGGAGGGAGGGGAAATATATAATTATAACTGACTCAAGTTGATGTACAGCAGAGACCACCACAAAATGGTAAAGCAATTATCCTCCAATCAAAAAAAAAAAAAAAAGAACTGGGTCCAGGTAGTGAATCTCATCACTGGGTAAAGATGAGGGAAATTTCATTCTGTGGATTCAGAGCTTCAACATTCAGAGGCTGAGACGGAAAGGGTAAGAGAGTAAAGAACCCTGAAATCCTTGTCCCAGTCCCATGAAATGAGGGCGTCTGTACAGGGTGAGGATTGTCTTTCCAGGTCCGGAGAGAAGGACAAGAGGGAGGGACTTGGGTGCAGGAACGGGGTGGCTGCAGGTGACAGGTGCAGGGGCTTTGGGAAGGGACAAGGATTTCCCTTGCAAAATGCATTCAAACAGACAGAGAGGGAACCTGATCCCGGGGAGGGACTCATCGGAAGAGTAGGAGACACCAGAGGAGCCCACAGATGGACCCGGGCTGGAGGGATGGGGGAGGAGAGGTGAGAGACAGCAGGACTTAGAGGGAGGGGAGCTTGGCTGAGTGCTTCGGCAGAGGGCAGGTCAGCATGGCGGATTCCCAAGCGGATTCCACAGACTGTCAGGCCTTACTCCACCCCAGGGGTCTTAGCATTTTTTTCTGGGAGTTATTTTTGTGCTAGGAATCCCCTCAGCTCCAGCCCCCAAAGGGCCCCCTTCCTCCTGCCCTGGGCCAGAATGGCCATCGGAGGCAGTTCTAGGGCCTGGGCAAGGGTCCCGTGGTGGCCAGGGGGTGGCACCAGGGTCCATGATGGGACCTGGGGCAGAAATCGGGGCCCTGAGAGGGGAAGGAAGTCCTGGTCAGAGCTCTGGCTCCCCCAGCTGGGTTAAAAAGGGTGATAAGAGCAGGTTGGGCAAGAGGAAGTGGGCTGGGCTGCCCTGGGCTATGACCGAGCTCCCAGGGGCCTGGGCCCTGGGCTGGAGCAGAGTTAGGGTCATGCACTCTGAGCAGAGGCCTCTCTGAACAGCCCCCCTGCCCTAAGCGTTCTCCTCGACCGGCCCCAGCGCAGGGCAGAGGAGGGAGCCTGCAGGAGATCACAGTGGAGGGTGGTGGCTGAAGGGTGCTCAGGGCAGCTGTGTGCCGAGTGGCGGCTGGTCAGTAAGGGTCCAGGCTTCGGCCACTCCGGAGGGCTGAGAGGAGGGAGTCATGTGACAGGTGAGGGGTGCCGTTGCCTCACTTGCACCTCATTTTCATGGGGAGGAAGGGTTGAGAAAGAGGAGCTGGGTGTTCAGCAAACTTTGCTTATTCAAAGCGCTCAATCCCAGCTGGACCCTGCCCCACCCTCAACTCCCATCTTCAGGGTGGTCCCAGCCTCCTCCTCAGCCTCTGAGAGACAGTCTCTGGTGCTCAGGACCCCACCTCTGTGGGGGTCCCTTCCCCCTCAGTGTCCACCTGGGGAAGAGTGCCCCTGCCGCATCTGATCCAGGACTGAGAGGCCCCTGCTCCGAGGCGACCAGACCTCATGACCTGCCTCTCGGGGCCGAGCAGCACAGAGAAGGAAGCCCCGAGCAGGAAGTGCTGAGGCGCCGGGTGAGGGCGGGGGCTTTGGGGAGGGGAGCCCGGCCTCCGGGGCAGGAGCAGTGACCACAGCCCCCCACTGCAGGCTGGCGGGGGGAGGCTGATTTAAAAGGCAGGTGGGCCTCTGGCCCAAGCGCTCAGTCCTGCACCCTGCGGGCTGCAGGAGCACCCAGACTTCCGGGCTAGCTGGGGCGGGTGCCATGTGAGCCCGGCTAGGCTCCCCTCCTGCCCGCCCTCCTTCCTCCCCTCCTCCCGTGAGCTCTGCCTGCCCAGCCTCTCCAAAGAGGGACACTTGGCACCATGTCTCTTCTGAACCCCGTCCTGCTGCCCCCCACGGTGAAGGCCTATCTGAGCCAAGGGGAGCGCTTCATCAAATGGGATGATGTGAGTGGGGCTGGAGAGGGCTGCTGCGGGGATGGGGTGGCGGATGGGCTGCTGCGGGCTTTGCCAGGGGAACTGGGTTGGTTTATGTCTGCCAAGATTCAGGCGCCCATGTGGCTTGGCCAGGCAGCTGATACAGCTGTCCAGATAAACAAACCTAGGGGTGAGGGTGCGTGCCCAAGGCTCTGTGTGTGGATGTGAGAGGAGGATAGCTGCTCGAGTGGTCACAGGAGGAAGCCTCTTTGGGCCTGGGTCTTCCTTTCCCCCAAGCCCCCAAGAAGAGCAGGGTGTGTTTCTCCTGGTCTCATTGCGGGAGGGAGGAAAGGTGCCCCAGAGCCAAGGCTGGACCAGAAGCCGAGGTGAGCTAGGCCCCTGCTCCCAGCACAAGCACCTGCTCCTCCCCACCCACCCCGGCCTGTCCCGGGGATGTCCCGCTCCCCGCCAGTGGCTGTGGGGTGACCCTGAGCGAGTGAGACCTAGAGGCTCTGCTCCCCGGGGCCTGGGAGGGAACTGATAGACTTCTGCTTTTGCCAGCTGCTCTCTGCCTAGCTCCCTGACGCCTGCCTGTCTGCAGGGAATGGGGAAACCACGCTGTGTCCTGCACCTCTGTCTCCAGGGTGTCTGCTCCTTCTCAAACTGGGCCTGCTTCCTAGCCTCTGGTTCTCCTGGACCCTGAAAATGTGTGTGTTGCCACAGGCCAGGGGTTCTCCAGGAGGCAGGCGGAAGGACTTGAGGTCCTCCTCAGGGAGCAGAGGCTGCTGGGCTGGCCTGCTGTGAGAGTCAGAGCTGGCTGGTCCCAGGGAGGGAACCTGAAGGCTGAGTGGTGGGGCAGGAAGGGTGGGCCCTTAGGGCTGGTTCCTCCTCCTCACAGGTGGGATGAGGGGGCTCAGGGTCCATGAGTTAAGGCTCTCAGGCCTTTGGGACTGGGCTCGGCTGAGGAATCTGGTTGCCATGACTAGGGGGAGGGACCTGTGGTAAGGGGCTTTCTGTTTTGACAGGAGTGGTGTGGGCACTGCAGCATGGTGGAGGTATGTCCCAGGAGTCTGCGGGACGAGGGAAGTGGCTCAGAATGAAAAGTGAAGTGGCCTCTCTCAGTTCCTCTGGGAAATGTGTGTAACCTTAGCATCGTTATGGATGGGGATGTGCCATGTGGCCTGCTCTGCAAGCCAGCCTCCGTGTACCCAGCGGGCCCGCTGCCCTCCCTGAGGCAGGGCACTGCAGGATCCTGGACCCTGCCTCCCACAAGCAGGAAGCTCCCTGTCTCAGGGCACATGCACCTGCCAGATGAGGCTCTGGTCTCAGAGTGCCTTTGGTCCAGTTGGCAGATGACCTGGGTATTGGATAAGCACAGTACATGGGATGTAATGAGCTCCCAACTTAATTTTGTGTCCCAGAGCCCGTTTACAATGTATTCTGTGGGAGAAGCTCCCCTATGATCCCTGGAAGGACACTCAGTCAGTCATGAGACATTCCATTTGCTCTTGGGGAACAGACAAGCCTATGGACTCTTTTCCCCACAAAACCCAGTCTAACTTCAGAGACTAGTTACCTCAAAACTCTAACCCGACTTAGAATGACATCTTCTACCCCACCTCCAAGAATAGTTTCAGGTGGGCTGCAGACCCTCTGCAAAGGCCTGTGGGGGGATCCCCTGCTCCTCCTCTATGCCTACTAGGAGTAGGGTGCACAGAGGGAGGGAGCAAAGAGGTACTGAAGCTCTTAACTGAGCAGCAGCTATCATGGACTGGGCCTGGCAAAAGGGTAAGACTTCTTTTTTTTCCTCATGATATTTTTGAGGATTCTTAGGAGACCCACCAACCCCCTTCCCCAAACTGGGGAATCTCTTTTTTTCCTTAATTAAAAAAAATTTTTTTGGCCCGTACCACACAGCATGTGGGGGTCTTAATTCCTTGAGCAAGGATAGAACCTCCACACCCCCACCCTGCAATGAAAGTGCAGAATCTTAATCACCAGACCTTCCAGGGAAGCCCCTGGGGATCTCTTACTTAGGGTCCTCCTGGGTTTGTGCTAAGTACTTCTGTCGTGAATAACTCTTTGCGACCCCATGGACTGTAGCCTGCCAGACTTATTTGTCCATGGGATTCTCCAGGCAAGAATGCTGAAATGGGTTACCATACCCCCCTCTAGGGGATCTTCCCCACCCAGGAATTGAACCCGTGTCTCCTGCAGCTTTTTCATTGCAGACGGATTCTTTATCCTTGAGCCACTGGGGAAGCCCAGGTCCTCCTATCATTTCTATTTCAGGAGGTCACTTGAAATTATTTCTTCAGCCCCTCTCAATCCAGTTACCACTTTCAGTTTCTTGCAACTTTGGCTTTGCCCCTCTCTCCCACAGGCCCATTTTGGACCCAGAAAATACGGATTCATTGCCCTACAGACTCTGGGGGTTTGGGCTAGCTATCACACCACTATGACTCTCTCTCTCCAATAGTCAGCCCGTCTGTCACCCATTCGTTTTCCCAGGCAGGTGTCAGACCCCACAACCTTAGGGGGTGACAGAAGCTTTCCAAGTGCAGGAAGTTTAAGGTGAGGGGTCAGGCACCTCAACCCTCCCTTGGGGAGGGAAGGGAACGGAGTTCACAATATAGCTTTTTCCAGAATTAGCAGTGTTCTCTTCCCTCTCCTATCCTAACCACCCCGGATTTGAGAAACTTTTTCTGGACCATTTCCTTTGTAAATTCTGCATTTGTTCTGGTTTGGTGTATAGCAACTCCTGTGCCTTGTTGGAAATCTCATCTTTAGTGTCTTGTTGTTTGTGCATACAAAGACCTTTAAGATAAAAGGTAGCCTGTGTGCTTTGTGAGTGGAACAGGAGTTCAGAAGTGAGTTCATTCTTCATTCTCTCACTCCTTCAGCAAACATGGTGCACAGAACTCATGGTCTAGTAGAGGCTTGTTTCCTGGGAGTCTGTGAGCTCCTGGGGGTTTCTTAGACAGGCTTCTAGGTCTGAGAACTGGCTCTTACCCTGTTTTTGCAGCGTGTCTCAGGAAAGGCTTTCCAGAAGCTAGTCTTTGATGTTATTTTAGGCAAGAAAGTTTGGGTGCTTGTGCTGGGAGGTGGGAAGGCATGTGGGACAGTTGGGTGGTTGGGATCCACGGATGGGAGGACTGGGCAGGCAGGAAGCGAGGCTGCTTTGCAGGGATTGGGTTCTCAGCTCTCACTGTGTTTAGCTCTCCTGGAGATAGCATGGAGTCTTGGTGAGGAACATTCTACCCCCTTGGTTGAGTTGTGGGCCTTGAAAACAGGGTAAGGTGGGGACCAAGACTCTTGCTTGGGGTCTAGAGGGAGAACTTCTATTTGGGATTTAGAGGGGAAACCCTCTTCTCTTCCAGAAATGTCATTTCCAACCCTCTACCCCTTCCCACCCCTGGTTCAGAGCTTTTAAGGCTTATACCCTGCCCTTAGCTCTGGAGAACAAAGAGAAATACCCACAGACCCCTGGGACAGCCACCTCCTAGGCAGACGGTGAGCTCTGAAACCCCTGGCTGGGGCCAGGAGCGCTCAGCCTGAAGTTTCAGAGCAGGGGCTGACTCTTTCTCTCTGCAGGAAACGACGATAGCCTCTCCAGTTATCCTCCGAGTGGATCCCAAGGGCTACTACTTGTACTGGACCTATCAGAGTAAGGTGAGGCAGCCCCTGTCTACCATGGCCTTGAACTGCTGCCGATCCATCGAATCCAAGCAGCTTCTTGATGACACAGGGGTGAAGGTGTGGATGCCAGCAGTATACAGTGACATGGAAGGGTGGCTCCACGCGAACTCCTGTGGGCAGGGTCTGGCTGTTTTGGGAGGGAGGACCCCAAGGAGGACCATGACTGCCTCGGCCCCGATGCTCCACCCTTAGCATCCCTTGGAGAGACAGAATAGAATTAGAATTGCTGCCAAAGGCTGATTCCCGGTCTGGTTCTGGGTAACCTTGAGGGTCCAGAGAGATCAGAGAAGTCTCAGCACCTGGGCAGAAAGAAGGCGGGGGGACTCTGGGGAGAGTGCATCTGGGATGGAGGTGGGGAGATGAGGTCACAGCTCCCCAGTCATTTGAGGGGCCAGGGGAGGCATGGCTGTAGAGGAGGGGAGGAGGGTCGCATGAGGAAGGCGAGCCCGCTTGCTGAGAAGGGAAGGTTGCAGTCTGGGAGACCCCACAGTCTTGGCATCTAGAAAAGGCAGTTGGCCAAGATGTGAAAGGGTGCAGAGCTTCCTGCCCTTCATCCTTGATCTGATGTCTCAGTCCACATCCCGTCTTTGCTGCTACCAGGAGATGGAGCTTCTGGATATCACCAGCATCCGGGACACCCGCTTTGGGAAGTTTGCCAAGATGCCCAAGGTAAATGGGCCGGAGGAGACCAGGCTCAGCACAGCCACCAGCTCCATGGGGCAGGGGTCCCTGTGGGGGCGGGGAGCCTGATCTCTGGAGCGAGCAGAGGGTCTCTTCCTGAGCCATGAAGGGGTGTGGCTGCCCCCTGGCTTGCTGGGGCTTTGGTATCAGGACACAGTGAATGGAGACATTGCATGGCCAGCTCTTACCCCTAGAGCACCCCAGGATGTCTGGGAGGTGTGGCTTGCCCTCTCTCCCCTCCCCTCCAAATGCTTTCCTGTTTTTGCCTAATGCTGGTAGGGAAGTTGGAAGAAAGGATTGGTGGGAAGCAAGATTCCCTGAATCTGGGGGCTAAGAATCTGTCTTCAAATGAGAAATGACAAAAAAAATACACAGAACTTGCAGGCCCCACGGCCTTGGTTTGTCTCTTCCTGTGGGCCTCTCCTTCCGTGGCTCCCACGATGGGCACAGATGAGATGCCCTCCAGTGGCCCAGATTTCACGACTGAGAAGGAGAGACAGGGAGAGCCATGGTGCCGGGGGTGCACTGCTGATCCCCACCGCGTCACCACCCGCTGCAGAGCCAGAAGCTCCGGGAAGTCTTCAACATGAACATCCCCGACAACTTCCTGCTGAAGACGCTCACAGTGGTATCCGGCCCTGACATGGTGGACCTCACCTTCCATAACTTCGTCTCCTACAAGGAGAACGTGGGCAAGGTGTGTGTGAGGGCACAGTTCTGGGCCCTGGAGACTGCCCAGAAATCCCGAGGGACAGGCCTGGCTGTGGGGTGTGGTGGCGCCTCTGGGGTCAGGGACCTGACCGCTGTGCTCTGGGGTCCTGCAGGACTGGGCTGAAGATGTACTGGCTCTGGCCAAGCATCCGCTGACGGCCAACGCCTCCCGCAGCACCTTCCTGGACAAGATGTAAGTGCCCCCTCGCCTGGCCTTAGTGCATGCAGGGCTAAATGTGCGGGACTGGGCCTTAACAGGCTGCTTTCTGCCCACCAGCCTTGTGAAGCTCAAGATGCAGCTTAACCCTGAGGGCAAGATTCCCGTGAAGAAGTGAGTCTCCCCTATTCCCTCCCCATGTGTCCTCCCCTTCCCTCCCCCAAGCTCTCCAAAGCCTTCCCTCTCCAGGCCTGACACCCCTTCTTTGCCTGACGCCTTTCTCAGCTGGTAAAGAATCCGCCTGCAATGCAGGAGACCTGGGTTCGATCCCTGGGTTGGGAAGATCCCCTAGAGAAGGAAAAGGCCACCCACTCCAGTATTCTGGCCTGGAGAATTCCATGGACTGTAGTCCATGGCGTAGCAAAGAGTCGGACATGACTGAGCGACTTTCACCTTTCACTTTCACTTTCTCTGCTTCTCAGTTTTTTCCAGATGTTCCCTGCTGACCGCAAGCGGGTAGAAGCTGCCCTCAGCGCCTGCCACCTCCCCAAAGGCAAGGTGAGTGGTTCTCCTTCCCCAGCCCACTCCCAGCATTCTCTTTCTCACCTGAGTTGCCTTTGGCTAGAGGGCAACTTGGACAGGCCTCATTGGGTTGGGGAGGGCAGAAATGATGGTACAGTCCTGGCCAACAGCCCCAAAAGCGAGGTAACTCCAGAGCCACTGATTCCTGACATCAGGAGCAGTGACAGAACCAGGGCAGGCGGGCTGAGGTGCCCGGGTTCAGAGTAGATTGGTCTACATTCCTTCAGCTCAACACATGAAAGTATCTTTCTTTCTACTGGTGTGCTTGCATGCTCAGTCGTGTCTGACTCTGCGACCCCATGGACCATAGCCCATCAGGTTCCTCTGTCCATGGGATTTTCCAGGCAAGAATACTGGCGTGAGTAGCCATTTCCACCTCCAGGGGATCTTTCCAAACCAGTGACTGAATCCAGGTCTTCTGTGTCTCCTGCACTGTAGGCAGATGCTTTACCACTTGAGCCATCAGGGAAGCCCCTTCTTTTTACTTAAGTAATTAATTTTGAATTACAAGTTGTATGTGGGGTCACCCATGAGGTACCTTACATGACTTACAAAAAGGAGCTGTCTGAGCCAGGGTTCCTGCCTGGCAGGGGTGGATCTCAGGCCCCCATCCTCCCTTGGCTGGTGCCTCAGTATAGAGTACCACCCGGAATCCATGGAGTCTTTTCTCCTGATAAGAATTTGGAACGTCATAAATAAATAAAACTGAGGCCTCACTGATTACCTGTCCACATGAATCCCAGGAGGAATCCTTCCCTGGGGTCAGCTCTATGGAGCTGGGAACACCTTGGTGCCATGAGTCACAGAGGATGCAAGCTGGAGGTTGGGGAGAGGGTGCAAGTGGGCTCCTGCTAGGGCATCACTGGCTGCTGTCAGTAACATCCGCGCCTCTTTACTCCTGCCTCCTGAGCTCCCACCTTGGCCACGTCCTCCTCATTGATCCGTTCTCCAGCATCATAGTAGGAGCCCCTGAGCCAGCTTTGCTTGTCCTTGATGGCTCCAAGATTCAGTCTAGCTCGTCTGCTCAGGGCCTCTGCTCCAAACTGAGACCGATACTGGCTTTCCAGAGTGAACCTGGAAAACAACTGATGGGTTTTTTTTTTGGAATGAAATGCAATGGCACAGAATTCTTGAATGCCACCAAATCTACTTTCTGTTTCTATAGATTTGTCTATTCTGGACAATTCATGTAAATGGAATCATACAATATGTGGTTTTTGATCTTAAGCTTCATTCATTTAGCACAATGTTTTCAAGCTTCATCCATATTGTAGCATCTATCAGTACTTCATTCCTTTTTATGTGGAATAATATTCCAAGGTGTAGATATACCACATTTTACCTACCTGTTCAACATCTGATGGACATTTGGGTCATTTTCACTTTTTGGCAATTATGAATAATGCTTCTATGAATGATTTTGTCTGGACATATGTTTTCAAGTCACTTGGGTACATACCTAGGGATGGAATTTTTGGGTCATATAGTAGCTCTATATTTAACATTTTGAGGAAATGCTAGACTATTTTCCAAAATGAACATACCATTTTACAATCCCACTAGCATTGTACAAGTGTTCCAATTTATCCACGTCTTCACCTTACTCTTTTTTTATTTTTTACTTTATTTTAGTCATTCTGTGTGATATAGTATCTCATTGTGGTTTTATGCTCTTTTTCCATTTGGCTACACCCCCTGGCTTGTGGGATCTTAGTTCCCTGACCAGGGATAGAACCTGTGCTCCCTGCAGTGGAAGGGTGGAGTCTTAACCACTGGACTGCCAGGGAATTCCCCTCACTGTGGTTTTGATTTGCAATTACTTCCCCGGTGGCTCAGAGGTTAAAGCGTCTGCCTGCAATGCAGGAGACTTGGGTTAGATCCCTGGGTTGGGAAGACCCCCTGGAGAAGGAAATGGCAACCCACTCCAGTATTCTTGCCTGGAGAATCCCATAGACGGAGGAGCCTGGTGGGCTACAGTCCACGGGGTCGCAAAGAGTCGGACACGACTGAGCAATTTCACTTCACTTCACTTCAAGGCTAAAGAGAATGCATTAGCTTGGAGAAGGCAATAGCTACCCACTCCAGTATTCTTACCTGGAAAATCCCATGGACAGATGAGCCTGGCAGGCTACAGTCCATGGGGGTCGCAGAGTCAGGCACGACTGTGTGACTAAGCACATACACAGTTTATCCAGATTTTCTTCAGAATGTTTTTTAAAAGTGCAAAACCCTTTAACATGTTTACTAGTTGTATTGGTTTTCCTGGCTGCTGTAATAAATTACCACAAACTAGGTGACCTGACATATCAGAAATTTATTTTCTTATGGTTGTTATGCCCAGATGTCCAAAATCAAGGGCCACACTCCTTCCAGAGGCTCTAGAGGAAAATATTCCCTTGCCTCTTCCAGCTTTGGGTGGCTATTGGCATTCTTGGGTTATGGCCACATCTCTCTGTCTGCTCTGTCTTCACATTACCTTCTGCTCTATGTACTTAATCTCCCTATGCCTCTCTCTTGTAAGGACACTTTTGTTGTAATTTCAGGCCCACTGAGATTATCCAGGATAATTTCACATGAAGAGCCGAAACTTAATTACATCTGTAAGACCCTTTTTCCAAATAAGGAGACATTCAAAGGTTCTGGGGATTAAGATATGGACATATTTTTTTTGGAGGTGAACTTTAGCCCACTACAGTCTGCCTTCTGGATCCCCAAATTTATGTCTGTCCCCTGTGCAAAATATATTCACCCTACCCTAATATTCCCCAAAGTCTCAAACCTAAAGTTTAAACTCTCATCCAAACATCATCAGTTCAAAAGTCCTAAATCTCATCTAGATCATCTAAATCAGCAACAGGTCAAAACCCTGGGGCAAAATTCCATTACATCTGTGAATCAGTGAAAAAGACAACAGGGCTCCTGCTTCCAAAATGCAGTGGTGTGATAGGCATATGATAATAGTTATAGACATTCCTATTCCAGAAGGAAGAAAATGGAACAGACATAGAAAGGAGTTCCTTGTCCTGATGATTTTCAGAATTTGGCCAGGCAGAATCCCCTTCCCTGGTGGTTCAAATGGCAAATACAGGAGACCTGGGTTTGATCCCTGGGTTGGGAAGATCTTCTGGAGGTCATGGCAACCCACTCCAGTATTCTTGCCTAGAGAATCCCATGGACAGAGGAGCCTGCAGGGCTGCAGTACATGGGGTCGCAAAGAGTCTGACACAACTGAGCGACTAAGCCCAGCACACAAAGCTAATGACGTTGAGCATCTCTTCATGTGCTTATTGGTCATTTTCATATCTTCTCTGGAGGAATATCTATTCAAATCCATTGCCCATCTTTCAGTTGGACTGTCTTTTACTGTGGCATAATCAATTACTGGATATCTGATTTGCAAATATTTTCTCCCATTCTGTGGTTTGTCTTTTTACTTTATTGACAGTGTCCTTTGGAATACAATTTTTAAAACAATATGAAGCACTTCATGAATTTACGTGTCATCCTTGCACAGGGGTCATGCTAACCTTCTCTGAAGGAATATAAAAATTTTAAATTTGGATGACATCCAATCTGTCTATGTTTTGTTATCATTCCCTGTGCTTTTTTGGTGTCTCCAACTATTGTTGTTGAACTGTCTATTTCTCCCTTCAATTCTGCCCATTTTGCCTCATGCATTTTGAGGTTCTGTTGTTAGGTGCATTGTTTGTATGCAAATTGCTTTCTTTTGAAAATTTATCCTTCACTTAAAAAGAAAAAGCCCACAGCTTTGACAAACAGCCCCACTTGCTTCTCACCTCTTTCCTTCCCTGTTCTGGTCATTCTTAGTTCAAATTCTGTCTTAGCCAAGAGACTCATGCTCATTCACTCAATTGTGTTTGACTCTTAATGACCCCACGGACTATAGCCCTCCAGGCTTCTCTGTCCATGGGATTTTTCAGGCAAGAATACTGGAGTGGGTTGCCATTTCCTCCTCCAGGGGATCTTCCTGACCCAGGGATTGAACCTGCATTTCCCCACATTGCAGGCGATTCTTTTACCACTGAGCCACCTGGGGAGTGACTAGCTGAGGTCAATTCAGGGGCAAAGCAAACCAGCTAAGATGCTGTCTGCTCAGCAACAAGGGCCTTGCAAAGTATGGGCTCAGGGTGCCCTTATGCTCTTCTGTCTGCCCTGAGCCGTCCCTCTCCCCAGGTCCCCGTGCACAGGGCTGGGCCTAGTCTGAGGTTCTTAGTGTTGGGAGGTGGACCCAGGAGTCATCAGTGACTCTCTATCTCCCAGAACGATGCCATCAATCCCGAGGACTTCCCAGAGTCCGTGTACAAGAGCTTCCTCATGAGCCTCTGTCCTCGGCCAGAAATAGATGAGATCTTCACTTCCTAGTGAGCGTCTTGGGCTGGGCTGGGCTTGGGGAAGGGGTGGTGGCTGAAATTCCCACCTGCCATGCTGATAATTAGGTGGTGTTGCTGGAGAAGGGGATTGTCTGAGCCCCCTCTCACCCCAGCCCAGGGGATCTAGAGGGGGACCCATGCTCCTCTCTCTGGCCTGCAGCCACTCCAAGGCCAAACCCTATATGACTAAGGAGCACCTGGCCAAATTCATCAACCAGAAACAGCGCGACTCCAGGCTCAATTCCCTGCTGTTTCCGCCAGCGCGTCCTGACCAGGTGCAGGGCCTCATCGACAAATATGAGCCCAGAGGCATCAACGTGCAGCGGGGTGAGGATGGAGGGAAACCTGGGCCCCCCGTGGACCTTTCCCATTCCGGCAGCTAGGCTGCAGCCCTGACAACCACCCCATCCCCCAGGCCAGCTGTCCCCCGAGGGCATGGTGTGGTTTCTCTGCGGGCCGGAGAACAGCGTGCTGGCCCAGGACAAGCTGCTGCTGCACCATGACATGACCCAGCCGCTCAACCATTACTTCATTAACTCCTCCCACAACACCTACCTGACAGGTGGGCCCTGGCAACCTCACAGCCAATCTCTCTTCTTCTGGGCCCTGTTCCTGTCCCCTGAATCCCCTGCAGGGGGAGTGGGGTGGGGCAGAGCCGGACTGCCCTTGAGTGAAGCCCCTGCCCCTCGCCCCTCCTCCGGCTCAGCCGGCCAGTTCTCAGGCCTTTCCTCTGCTGAGATGTACCGCCAAGTGCTGCTGGCAGGCTGCCGCTGCGTGGAGCTGGACTGCTGGAAGGGGAAGCCCCCCGACGAGGAGCCCATCATCACCCACGGTTTCACCATGACCACAGACATCTATTTCAAGGTGAGACTCGGTGTGCAGAGGCTGGTGGCAGTGGCACTAATGAAGGGCCCTGGGCCAAGAGCCTTTGGGGGGTGGGGGTGGTGAAGCAGGAGAGGAGGGATGGCTGGCAGGCCTTGGACCAGCGTGGGGACCAGAGGGGACCAGAAGGGACAGGGGCCAATAGTCGCCCTCCAGTTCTGTATGTGTGTTGAAACTGGAGAGTGGACAATGGTGCCTTTGGGGGAGTGGAAGCCTGTAACACAGCACTGACTTCCTTCTTCCCCATGGGGTCCTCTTCTTCTCCAGGAAGCAATCGAAGCCATTGCAGAAAGTGCCTTTAAGACCTCCCCTTATCCGGTCATCCTGTCATTTGAAAACCATGTGGACTCGTGTGTATCCAGGCCACCCAGCCTTGTTCTCTACCCTCGCCCCATCTCCCACCTGCTGCTACCCTCCCCACAGTCATTCCCCCACCTCTTAGCCATGCCTTCCAGCTCCCTCCCAGGTCTCCTCACAATCTCCTTGGGACTGAGGGCTCTCCTGTCTGCGTCCCTGCCTCCCCAAATTCCTGAGCCTCTGATCTGGGTCATCGGGGAGCACAAAAAGATGGATAAGAGGGTAGAGAGGAGCAGCTGAACACCACCTACGTCTGCTCCCTGCAGACCCCGCCAACAGGCTAAGATGGCCGAGTACTGCCGGACGATGTTTGGGGATATGCTGCTCACAGAACCCCTGGAGAAGTTCCCGGTGAGAAGACTTCACTGTGGGGCATCTGGGGCTGAGGGCTGGGGACCCAGGGCAGGGTGCCAGGATGCTGGGGCTCACCTGGGAGGATTGTTGGGTCCTATTGTCTACCACATGTCAGACACTATGCTGGGCTTGAGGTACATGTCAGTGGCAAAGGGGCCAGTCGCAGAGCTCAGATTGCTTACCCTCTAGTTGGGAGGCAGGGAAGTAACCATGCCATTACAACCAGTGGCTGCTTTAGGAGCACTTGAGGCTCCAGATCTGGTCCTGGGGATTAGGGAAGGCTTCTTGGAGAAGGTGATGATTAAGTTTTAACCTGAGGGAGATAATGGATTTATCTTGATGACAGTGGGCAAGGGTGTTTCAGGCAGACTGAATAAGGTTAGAAAACATCACTGAGGAGCTACGGTAAGTTGGGTCAGACAGAGAACTGGGGCACTAGATGGAGTGAGGAGACACAAGGCTGGAGAAGTAGGCAGGGGGCAAGTGGAGGGCAGCCTGGCCTGAAGGAGCTTAGGCTATACCCTGAAGGTAAGGAGATGGCTGAGGCCTCTCTCTCTTCTCCCACAGCTGAAACCTGGCATCCCCCTGCCCAGCCCTGAGGATCTCCGAGGCAAGATCCTAATCAAGAACAAGAAGAACCAGTTTTCTGGCCCTGCATCCTCTGGCAAGGAGCTGGATGGGGAGGCTGAGGGTAGCAGCCCACCCAGTGCCCCTGTGGGTGAGGATACAGGTGAGTCGGCCTGGGAGGAGTAGGGGTGGGCGTGGGCATGGGGGAGCATCTGGAATGGGAGAGAGGGGCTGGGCCTGGAGGGGAGAGCCAGCCTGGTGTGGGGTCTCCCAGTGCCCCCAGCACTGACAGAGCTGTATATGGCAGTGTGGGCTGGTGAGGAAGGGGCTGAGCTGGAGGAGGAGGAGGCGGAAGAGGAAGAGGAGGAGTCAGGAAACCTAGATGAAGAAGGAATAAAGAAGATGCAATCAGATGAGGTGTGTGTGGAGTCCTCCCGGCGGGGGTATGGGGCCGGGTCCCTGGGCCCTGTGCTGGCCTCTCCTCTACCCTCCCCTCCTCCCTAGGGCACAGCGGGCCTGGAGGTGACAGCCTACGAGGAGATGTCCAGCCTAGTCAATTACATCCAGCCCACCAAGTTCATCTCCTTCGAGCTCTCTGCCCGTGAGTTAGCACGGGGTGGTGGGAAGCTGGAAGTCACAATTCGATGCAGGAGAAGGCCCTTAGGAAGTGTGTCCTGACACCAGAGCAGCCTGATGGGTGGGGCTGAGAGCCAGGAAGGTCCTCCCCTCCCTTGGGCTGGGAGCCCTGTCTATAAATACCCAGCAGAGGAGCCAGGCAAAGGGCATGTTTAAGTGGCAGTGGCTGCCAGTGTGCTGTCACTGTACTGGGAACTTGGCAGCACACAGAATGCTCTGGAATGTGTCGGTGACAGGCAGGTCATTTACAACAGGCCACCTCAGCTGGGCTTCCGGGGCTCCTGCAGCCTCCGGGGCCAGAGAACTCCTGGGAGGGGGTGGTCAGCAAAGACACCAGCCAGAGCACAGTGCCCTGTCCCCTTCCCTTTCTGAGCGCACCCATGCTGTTTACCTTTATCTTCTCCAGACATGTTCACAGTGAGTTCCTCTCACCCTCTATGCATGTCCCCATCACCAACACCTGTTTCTGTGTCCACTCTGCGATGCTTCTCATCCTTGAACCTCCAGCCTGCGCCCTTTCCTGGGTACCACTCTTGCTGTGGGCCTCTAACCCCTGTGCCCTGTACTTCATGGAGCGTTCCTGATCCCTGGGATCATCTCTGTGTGTTCCCCACACCCCCCTGTGTGTGCCCAGGGCATGCACCCCACCCTCCAGGACTCTGGCACTCACAATCCACCCCTGTGTGTATCCACTGTGCATACCCTTTACCCCAGGACACACTGCTACCCACAGAGATCTGCACATTTCCTACCCCGGGCCTGGCCCCTCAACCCTCAGGCCTCAGTGGTGAAGTGAAGTGTTAGCTGTACCAAAGCGGGAGGCAGGCCTGTGGGAGGGGACAGCCTGATGTGGACTCTCCATCCTTCTCTATGCAGAGAAGAACCGAAGTTATGTTATCTCCTCCTTCACGGAGCTCAAGGCTTACGATCTGCTCTCCAAGTCCTCAGTGCAGTTTGTGGAGTATCCTTGAGACCTCTGTAGCCAGGGTCCCTGGTGGGGTGGAGGGGCGGGGGGCCTGGGACGAGGCTCGTGGGTCTGTGGTCCTCCTGGTTCCTATACTCCATGGCAGCTACAACAAGCGCCAGATGAGCCGCATCTACCCCAAGGGGACCCGCATGGACTCCTCCAACTACATGCCCCAGATGTTCTGGAACGCTGGTTGTCAAATGGTTGCCCTCAACTTCCAGACGATGGGTAAGAGCATGATCAGGCCCTTAGGAACATTCCCCTGCTCCTCCCACCTTTACCCCTTCCCTGGGGAGGGGGAGGTCTTTGGAACAGACTTGGGGGAGCTGATGTTCAGTTAGGCTGAAGCAGTTAGGCGGGTGCACGTGCAGGTGTGTGAGCATTGAGTGCATCAGCTCATACCTGTGTGACTGCAGGTACACCAGTGTGTATGTGGTGATGCCAGGGTGCTGGCAATGGTTCTGGCGTTCTGGCTGCTCAGCCTGAGCGGGTCTGTGGGAACCCCTGCTCCACTGGTCTCAGCTCCCATTCTGAGTGTGAGGTCCGGTCGTGGCTTTTGCTCCTGCTGACTTCAGGCTGGGGGCCCTTCCTGAGAGATGAGACCCTAAGGAACCAATATGGGACATGAGAAACCCTCATCCTCATGGCCCTCCCAACCTCCCTGCTCACAAGATGGGAAAGGCGGGGAAATGTGGAAAGAGAGGCTGTGTGCAGACTCAGAGCTGGGGCTCCCTGCCTGACTGCTCCTGTCCCCCCAGACCTGCCCATGCAGCAGAACATGGCACTTTTCGAGTTCAACGGGCAGAGTGGCTACCTCCTCAAGCATGAGTTCATGCGTCGGTCGGACAAGCAGTTCAATCCCTTCTCAGTGGACCGCATCGACGTGGTGGTAGCCACCACCCTTTCCATTACGGCAAGGCCCTGAGGTGGACAAGTAGCTGGGAGGGCTGGGGTCTTGAGGAAAAAGACACAGGAGCCCCACCCCTCCATTCCCAACCCCCTCCCCTGATATCCTGAAAACTTCAGCCCCAGCCAGTTTCGTGCAGTAGCAAGTTGCCTTGGAAACTGCCTCCTCCTCTGCACTGGAGGCTGCCTCTTGGTCCCCATGGAAACCAAGGGGAAGGGCTGAGGCCGGGTTGGGGGAGGGGAGAAGAGTGGGCAGAGTGGGGCAGTAGGAGCCCCAGGCCCTGGGGGAGGGCCCTGCTCCTTCCTCACTGGGGAGGGAGGTGGGGAAGCCCACACCTCTTCCCTGAAGGCTGGAAACACCCTGGATGCCAGAGCTTAGCTGTAATCCTTGAGCCACACAGCCTCTATTCTGTGGCCAGAATTGAACGGGGCTCTTCCCAGTACCCAAGAATGGATGTTTCAGCCAGGGGGCTGGAGGACTTAGGTTCCAGGCGTGGCCTGAGTGGGAAACTGATACTGATCTCCCGTGCCACACCCCACTCCTCCAGGTGATCTCTGGGCAGTTCCTGTCAGAACGCAGTGTGCGCACTTCTGTGGAAGTGGAGCTGTTTGGCCTTCCGGGAGATCCCAAGAGGCGCTACCGCACCAAGCTGTCACCCAGTACCAACTCCATCAATCCGGTCTGGAAGGAGGAGCCCTTTGTCTTTGAGAAGGTGGGGCGGGGCCCATGGCAGTCAGGGGCTGGGACCTGCCCCTCCTTCTTGGTCTCTACTTGTAAAAGAGAAAATACATAAAGGGAGTTCTTTGAACCTCCTCCTCTCCCCACCCCTCACCTGTGCCCTCCTGAGTTTCAAGAGTTCAAAAACCAAGTTTACAGAAATTTACTTGGTGGGCAGGTTTTGTGTGTGTGTACAGGTGTGTATGCATATGCTTGTTCACGTTAGGATTAGAGGCAGAAATGTGCACTCCCAGACAGGGTGCAGGGGCCTAAGAAATCATGGGGGTCTTTTGCCCCTACTGGATACTTGTTGACAAAGCTGCCAAGGGCTGTCTGCAGCAGGCCCCCGAGCCCCAGGCCACATATCCAGCTCTCTGCCCCGTGTGGACCAGCCATGACATGAGCTGTTAGGATGGCTATGTGTGTGGCTTAGAGTGGGCCTTTTGTCCTCACCAAACCTGGTAACACCTGCCATGTTCTCACACTGACCCTAGATTTCTGGAGCCAGGAAGGGGGGAAGCCTGGCTGCCCCCTCCCCACTCTAGCTTGTCCTGTTCTGAACTCTCCCCAGATCTTGATGCCTGAGCTGGCTTCCCTCAGAGTCGCTGTGATGGAGGAAGGCAACAAGTTTCTTGGACACCGCATCATCCCTATCAGTGCCCTGAATTCCGGTAAGGACAGGGGTCCTTCTTTGCTGTTCCCAGTGGGTCTGAGACCAAAACCAGTATCAGGATCCTGTCCACAGGATGGGGCAGCTTCAGGAAGGCAGCCCTATCATGTTATCAGCCAGAGAAAGTGTGGCAGGAATAGTACCTCTCCAGGAAACTGACAGAGGTTGAGGCCTCTGTCCACCCAACAGAATGTCTCTAATTTTCTGGAATTACTGGGGCAGTTTCCCAAGCAGCTGACACTCACTGGGCGCTTAAAATGCTTTAACGGCTTATAACACATTCTCACTTTATTTTGAGAAGCCACATGAAGTGGGCTTCCCCAGGGACTCAGTGGTAAAGAATCTGCTTGCAATGCAGGAGCTGCAGGAAACACAGGTTCAATCCCTAGGTTGGGAAGATCCCCTGGAGAAGGGCATTGCAATCCACTCCAGTAGTCTTGCCCGGGAGTATCCCATGGACAGAGGAGCCTGATGGACTACTGCCATCGCAGTAGCAGGTCGCAGTAGGGTCGAAAGTCGGACACGACTGACTCCACTTAGCATGCACACAACCACATGAGGTAGATACTGTTACCCCCATTTCACAGATGTGGAAAGGCTCAGAGATTTAAAGTAATCTACTCAAGATCACACAGCCAGAAACCAGACTAAAGGCAGGAGTGTTGAGTATTGGGCTGCTGGTGAGCAGCACTGGAAGCAGTGGGCTCTGGCTCACTGGCCACCTGGTCATGTCCCACAGGATATCACCATCTCTGTCTGCACAATGAGAGCAACATGCCGCTCACCATGCCCGCGCTCTTTGTCTTCCTGGAGATGAAGGACTATGTGCCTGACACCTGGGCAGGTAGGAGGCCCATGGAATGCTGGGAGCCCCAGGCTGTCCATCCTTTCTCCTTTCTCCTCAAGCCAGCCTCCAGAGGAAGGCAGAACAGGGCATCCTGGGGCAGGTGAGGATGGGAGAGGCTCCGAAGCACATCTCCTTACCAGGTCCACCATGTCCCTGTGCACCCAGATCTCACGGTGGCCCTCGCTAACCCTATCAAGTTCTTCAGTGCCCATGATAAGAAGTCTGTGAAGCTCAAGGAAGCCATGGGAGGCCAGCCCGAGGTCTGTGTTGTCAGGGCTCCTGCCAGCGCCCCCCACAGGCCTGCCCCATCTTCGGGAAGATGAGGGTGGGGGCTGACTCCTGGCTCAGGGTGAGAAGCACCTTCCCAATCTGCTCTCCCTACAGAGTCCCTTCCCTCTTGGGAACCACCCTGCCAGCCAGGTCAACGGGGCATCGGCTCCAACAAGCAATGGGTCAGCAGGTACACATTCCGTGTCCTCCCACCTATCCGAAGGGTCTTGACCTCTCCGCTGCACGCATAGGCACATCCCAGCCTGGAGGCAGCTTTTCATAAAAATAATAATAATAATAATAAAGCAAAGACTTTCACCTGGGGAGGGAACAGCTGCGTGTGAAGCCTCGGGGCCGGGCAGTGCTCAGCAGGCGGCCCACACTGTCCCGGGACTGGGCGGGGAGCAGCCGAGCCCAGGGGCCCACAGGGCATCCCAAGAGCCTCGCCTTTGGCTCTTGCAGCAGCCGGGGCCAAGGCCAGGGAGGAGGCCACGAAGGAAGCTGCGGGTAAGGCCTGCTGAGTCCGAGAGATGTGGGGGTCCAGTTTGGGGAGGGTCGGGGGCTCTGTGGCGGGGAGCGGTTCCCGGGGGGCGCACGCCTCACCCTGGCCCCCACAGAACCGCAGACCGCCAGCCTGGAGGAGCTGCGGGAGCTGAAGGGCGTCGTGAAGCTGCAGCGGCGCCAGGAGAAGGAGCTGCGGGAACTGGGGCGGCGCGGCGTGCGGCGCTGGGAGGAGCTGCTGCAGAGGGGCGCGGAGCAGCTGGCCGGGCTCGGGCCGCCGGGCGCGGGTGGCGGCGGCGGGTGCCGGGGCCGCAAGCTCGGCTCGGGCAAGGGATCCCGCAAAAAGAGGTAAGGGTGGTGGCGGTGGTGACGGCGGCGCATCCTGCCCTCGGCGGCGCGGGCGGCCTGGGGCTCACGGCGTGTTCCCACGTGGCCGTCTCAGGACCCTGCCCGGCGAGGACACCGCCGCGGCGGCGTCGGCGGAAGGCCCCGAGGGCGAGGACGTGCGCCTGCGAGAGCTGAGGGACAGTCTGGAGCTGGAGCTGCTGCAGCTGGGCGAAGAGCAGTGCGAGTGTGTCCTGAAGCTCAAGGAGCAGCACGCGGCCCAGGTGCCAGAGCCCGGGAGGGAAGGGGGAGGAGGCGGGAGGGGAGAGGGAGGGAAGGGGCAGGGGAGGAAGCGACGGCCCGACCCCACCTTTGCCACATTGCACATCGAAGGGCTTCTCTTCTGCTTGGCTTAGCCGGTTCTTCCTTTCCCTCAGCAAATGACCAAGATGATGGAGCTGGCCAGGGAGAAACAGGCTGCAGAGCGGAAGACCCTCAAGGAGACCTTGGAGACGTAAGGCCGCCCTCCCTTCTACTCCTGACTCTTACCTTCCGGGAAGTCCCAGGCGGAAGGAAACTTCTTCCTGATGCCTGTTTCTCTGCAGTGACACCAAAGAGATGAAGAAGAAGCTGGAGGCCAAGAGGCTGGAGCGGATCCAGGCCATGATGAAGGTCACCACAGATAAGATGGCTCAGGAGAGGTGAGCCCTGGAGGGGAGGCACAGGACTCATACTCCAGGCCCTGTGCTGAGCAGAAACCACTCGGGTGGGATGGGGCCTCCCTACAAGGGGATCCTGACTTGCTTCCCGGAGTCTACTGGTTCTTGAAAGGTGATTCCACTTCTGTCACCTCTGAATCAGAGAATGTCCTTAGGCAAAACACAGATGCCACCACTATTTGAGCAGAGAGGAGAATTTAAGGGAAAGTTAACCATGCCAAGAGGGAAGCGAAACCTTGGGACAGCTGATTTGCACCTACACTTTCCAATGCATACCTTAAGGAATGGTGCATTTTAGTGAGGAAGCCCCTTCCCTCAGAAGGCCCCCAGGGCTCCCAAAGGCGCCTCAGGTCCTCTGCTTACCCCTCTGGCTGGTTCCCAGACCAGACATAGATGTGCCAGCCACAGATGATTCTATGATGCAGTTCTCATTTTGCCTACACCCTGTGGAGACTTTGTCCCACCCAGCTCTTCTCAGCAGCCTCTTATCCCATCTGAAACTCTAATCACTCCAACAGGCTGAAGAGAGAGATTAACAACTCCCACATCCAGGAGGTGGTGCAGGTGATCAAGCAGGTGTGTGAGAGCTATGTTCTTCCCAAACACACTCTTTCTGAGGGAAGAGGTGGTCCCAGGCCTTTACTTTGCCCGTAGGAGCTGCACTGTCTCAGTTGGCCCATGCAGCTAGGGATGGGGCAGGTGGCAGTGCAGGGGTGGGGCTACGCCTTGGCCATCCAGGGTTCTAGTATTTGTGCAGAGGTTGGGACAACAGCCTAAAGGGGTCTGTATCTGCCACTTACTCCTGCCCAGATGACGGAGAACCTGGAGAGGCACCAGGAGAAGTTGGAGGAGAAGCAGGCAGCCTGCCTGGAACAGATCCAGGAGATGGAAAAACAGGTGGGGGTGGAGGGGTGTGGACCACTACCCAGGCCCACAGCAGAGCTGGCCTGGCTCCAGGGTGCAAAGGGACCGGGCTCTGGGGAGCTGCCAGTCAGGAGGTGGGAGGAGAGGGATTGGCCCCTCTCCTAGGGGGGTCAGGGCTCTGGTTCCCAGGGGTTCATGAGGCATCTCTGCAGATCTCTTCGCTTGGTTGGCAAACCCTCCCCTGAGAAACCCCCTGATGGGCTCCACTTTGCACCCTGATTTTCTGGGCAGTCTGAACAAACCAGGCATCTCCCGGTTCAGTTCCACTGTCCTGGGTAGGGGGGGTGGGCAGGTGGCCCATCCTGAGCCAGGGGGTGGTCTTCACTGTCCCCACAGTTCCAGCAGGAGGCGATGACAGAGTACGAGGCCAAGATGAAGGGCCTGGAGGTGGAAGTGAAGGAGTCAGTGAGGACCTGCCTCCGGGCCTGCTTCCCCTCTGAGGAGGAGGACAAGTCTGAGAGACCCTGCGTGGCCTCCAGGGAGCTGTGTGAGCAGGACACACTCGCAGAGCAGGCAGAGACCCAGGAGAGCCACCTCTGATGCCCCCATCCCATGGGGACATCCTGCAAGGACATCGACTCTTTTCTGGGATATGGCTCCAACCCCTGGAGGAGAGGGCCCCTTGTGTTCTGAGGTGCAGGAAGCTGGGGCTCCCTTGGACACTGGAGCCCCTCCCTCAGCTACAGGCTAAGGTGGAGGCTGGAACCATGTGGGGCCCCTCTGAGGCTCTGAGGCCCTCTCCAAGCCAACATCCTGCTCCTCCTCCCCTCCTCTCTGAATAAGTGTCACATATTTGTTGAGGGAAAAAATATGACCTGTGAGGCAGGAAATGGGGTCCTGGCCCCCCACTCTTGCCTTCCCTAGTGAGCCTCTCTGGACTCGGTTTCCTCTCCTGGCCGCCTGGAACCTCCACTCCTGCCCCTGTAGTTCAAGCAGGGCCAAACTCCAAAAGCTCCTGCCCTAAGGCAGGCGACTCAGCCTGGCTCATAGGCCCTACAGAGTTTGGCACTTCCTTCCAGTTCTTTGGGGACGGATGGCTGCTCCCAGGATCCCAGGCCGAGATGCCTTTCCTGCCTCCTGCCTGTGGGGGATAGGAGGCTGATGTGGAAAAGCTGCCTCAGCTGTATGACCCTCAGGCCACTGAGACAGCTGGGGCTGGGGGAGAGGGGAGAAAGACGGCCTTTTGTGCTCTCTCCCACCCAAAGCCCGATCACCCCTTTTCTGAGACATGGGGGTACTTCCCAGCATGTGCCCCCGACTCGGGTTGTCTGATAAGGTCAGCACCATTTTCTCTCCTGACTGTATGAGGTTTATTTATTTTTCTCTTTCTAACTCCTACTAAAGAACCCTGTTCCAAGATTTTCTGCCTATGCCTGGCCTCTGTTCTCTGAGAAATGGGGGGCAGCAGAGTAGAGTGCCCCTCAACTGAAATGCGCTGGGGAAAATGCCCTTAAGAGTTGAACTGGGCGCCAGGTTCCTTCCAGAGCACAGTGGAAAAGCCCTGCCTCTGGGTTTGAAGAGGATTCACTTCCCCTTCTGCCATAACCACTGGAAAATGACATCACCCTTCTGCTCCACTCCCCACCCAAATGTGGCCGTTCCTTGCCTCCGCCCTCAGGGCTGGGGCAAAAGAACAAAGGTGTCCCCCACCCTCTTGGGGAGTCAGAATCTTTCAGGTCAACTGGGCCCCTTGAGGCCCACTTAGAGTGGTCAGTTAGGGTTGACCTGTGGCAGTTAGGGCTGACCCCACCATGTGCTATAGGAGGCTTCTGTGCAGCTATTCACTGCACCTATTGTGCCTGCATCCATGCCAAGTTGCTGTCGTCTCCGACTCTTTGCGACCCTATGGACTGTAGCTTGCCAGGCTCCTCTGTCCATGGGGATTCATGGGAATTCTCCACACAAGAATACTGGAGTGGGTTGCCATGCCTTTCTCCAGGGGATCTTCCACACCCAGGAATTGAACCCGAGTCTCTGAGGCTCCTGAGGCTCTTGCATTTTGCTGGCAGATTCTTTACCACTGAGCCACCGGGGAAGCCTAACACCTATGACACAGTCTCAAATCCCACATGAAGACAGGCCCTGGCTTGGGAGAAGCAGGGTGGGAGGTAGATTCTGGGAAGAGGTTGTTTTCTTATCAGAGAATTATAGCAAATGCCATTAGCTATGAGCACCTGTGCCTTCGGAAAATAAACAGGAGCCCCCTCACCCCATCCCTCTGGGGGCTGATCTCTGGGATGCTAGCAGTCTCTGGTGGCTGGATGAGGCTGAGGCCCTGCTCATTCACAGAAGTAAGGCCTGTCATTGATCAGCCTGCATACACGCTGGAGGCAGCTAAGCCTGGGACATCTACATCCCAGGCTAGTGTCCTGTTTTCAGCCCTCCAGCTGAGCACTCAGCTGCCCTCTCTCCTCCTCAACCCAGGGGTAGAACTTTACAGGAATGAGCATCCAGGCCTAAAGGAACTCACTGACCTAGCTAGAGTCAGCGCCAAATAGGGCCCACTGGGCAGTTCCCAATTTTGTCAATGGCCACTCACTGGAAGAAAACCTCCTTCGCTCTGCCTCTCAGTCACTTTTGGGCAACATCCCTAAGCCTCCAGCCCGGGGCTAAGATGCCCAGGAATGGGGGAGAGGATGCAATCCTGCTTCCTGGAGGGGCTGGGGGCTTCCCAGAAGGACGGGGCAAATATCCACCTTCCTGCTTTCTATCCTCTGGAAAAACAGCGGGTTGCCCCTGGGAACATGCTATAGTCCTTGGACCCTAGGGGTGCATTAATCTCTGGCCCCCCAGAGATATGCAGAGGAAGAACTGATGCCTTCTCTCAGGGCTCTGGGCCAGGGAAGTGCACCTGAGTTCCACTCCTGCTGCAGATCTAGGGGGCTGGGACCAGATTCCCCATCAGCGGCATGCCTCAGTTTCACCTTTTTCACAAAAAGAAAGGTCCCTGCCCCCTTCCCAGTCCCACTGCTGACTCACTGCCAGAGTCCCCTGCTGACTCACCCCGTCCCCTACACCCCCCTCCCCCCAGCTCTCTGGATCTCCCAGCCACGTGCCACCAGGCCCAACCCTGCTGAGCTGGTGCAACGTGACTGGATGAGGGGGCTGGTGACACTTGAGGAAGAAAGAAGGGAGCCTGTGGAGTGGGGGCAGCTGTAGACAGGAGTGACAGACTGCAGACCCCAGTCGCCTCTGGGAGGAAGCCCTTTGCCAGCCTGGGGCCTGCAGTGGGGGAGGCTCAGCAGGTGGGAGGGGAGGGGAGTGTGGCATGCCTGCCTGCCCCCTGCCTGCCTCAGCTCCACCGCCTGTCAGCCTTCAGCTCCCTAAGCGACAGCTTCTAATTCCGGCTGTTGGTGCCTCTGTGCTCCAAAGCAAAGTCTCGGCTTTTTTTCATCGTTGCTATTTCTTTTCTGCTCAGAACATGCTGAGCCCACAGGGAAGTCAGAGCAAAGGCTTTAGGGCATGAGACCTGGCATCGCCCTCCCCACCCCATCCCACTCCCCTCCATCCCATCCTAGCCCACCTCTACACCATCCCGCCATAGGCCTCGCTGGGCTGGAGCAATGGAACTGCTGCTCCTCCCGTAGTGTACCCAGCACAGCACACCCTGACAGGCCAGAGAGAGGCCGTGCCTCAACTCCCCTTCTTCCTTCGCACTCTCTTCATGCACCACAGAGAAAAAGGACGGAAATGAGGCTGGGTGGCCCAGGGAGGAGAGGCATGGCTCTTTAGGACCAGTGCCCCTTCTGTGTTCTAGCTGCTTCTCTCCTCCACCTGGGGGTGTCAGGGCCTGGCTTGTCAGGCTGGCCTGCCACACATACTTCTGGGATACCCCCTCCCTTAGTCCTGGAAACAGAGAAAGAAGAGAAGACAGCAATTTCCTTCATGCCTCAGAAAAGGGAAATTGAGTCATGAAGAGAGGAATACCTTTCTTCTGCAGCCTGAGAAAACAGGGAGATCATTCCTGCGTTCTTGCTAGGGTTAGAGAGTCTATTCCTACCCCCACCCCCCACCAACCCCGCGCCCTGGTCTGGGGGTGGGATTGGACTTTCTGCCCTCTAACTGAACAGCTCTTTCCCTGACACTCTCTAGCTTGCTGTTGCTTGCAGCTGGCAGGGCTGGTGTTATCGGCTTTCTTTGCAGATGAGAGTATTGGGCCTGGAGCCACACTGCTAGTGAATGCCTTCAAGCTGGGACAACTCTACTGTCAAATACTGTGCCCTCTCTGTGACACCTTGAGAGAAAAGAGAAAATCGGCAGGTCCCAGAGTAGGGGGATTAAAAAATGCAAAAAGTAAAAGGGGAGGTTTTATGGTGTGCGCAGGCATACATCACAAGCTCCCCCCAGGTAAGAGGGGAGTTGGGAGCCCCTGCTCCATGACTGGCCCCGATGCCAGGTGGACATCTCGGAAGCCTGGGAGCTGGAGAGAGGAGAGATGCTTAGGGGTTGCAGGACCAGGCGTCCACTTTGCCACTCTGCCATCTGGGCCCACTGGCTTTTTCTAGAGACAAATCTTCTCCCTGCCCATACCTTTCCCCAGGCAGATTCTGCTGCAAAGCTTCTGGTCACTGCTTTCATTCTTCCTTTATTTTCCTGTCTTTTATATAAAAGGACCCCGTAAAACAGCCCTCAACACTGTCCCCTAAAGGTGTTCTTCCTGTCTCTATGCCCTGGCCTCAGCAACCTCATCCGGATGTCTACCTTGCTTCTTAGCAGCCAGATTCCATCTCGGAAGGCTTATCCTGGGAAGATCCTAGGGTCCGCCCCTTCTCCACAACTCCCTTTTTTCCTTCAGGGACTGTCTCGGTTTTGTATTTTACCGACCTATTCAGCACCCGGGCCATAAACTCGACTTTTTATGTTCCGGTCTTGTCTTCCAGCTTGAGAGGGGAGGTCTGTTCCATCCGGGACCAAATTTCCGCCTCTGTATTTCCCACACCTGGGAACACACAATACCTGGCTCACTAAAAGTCTCAGTGAATTCTGTAGTGGATTCCTGACTCACTTCTTACTTCACAAATATTCATTCCACCCTACACACCCCCACCCCCAGCAGATCTTAGGCGCTCGGACTCCCCACCGCCGAGGCCTGCACACCCCTCCCTCGATGCCCAGGGTGGAGCAGCGGGCCAGAGGGAGAGAGGGAATGGTGGTTTTCCCACACTCTGACTCGTGCTCTCTTCCTCTCCGAAGAGGTCAGCTAGTGGTAAAGGTCAGAGTCCTGTGGTCTGGGGGTGGTTCTGTGCTCAAGAGGGAGACGGGGACCCTGGGGCAAGGCTTGCATGTCTCTTGCACTTTCTCGGGTAGCGACGGGTCCTGAAGCAGCAGGGAGGCGGTGCCGAGGAGCTGCTAACGCGGCTGCCGCACTCTGGGATCTTAAGACGCCCGCTCCGGTCGCCGCGTCTCCGCTCCACCAGCTTCTCAGCCGCCGGGAGCTGGCGGGCGGGCGCTTAGTCGGGGTTGAAACGTCTGAGATCGGAGAGCGCACTCCCCCTCCCACCCCCGCGCCGAATGAGCGTGTGCAGGAGGAACGATTGTGTGTGTGCGCGCGTGATTCGCTACACTTCCAGTGGCCGTTCCCGGCCAGACCGAGCGGCCCCAGCCCCGCGCAGCGCAGGTACCCCCTCCCCGGATTTGGAGAGTGATTTACTCCCAGTCCGCCTTTCGCCGCCACCCCCAGCTCGCTTATGGTCGAATTCTGCTCTCATGGGGCTCCATTTCCTTCCACCCACACCGCTGGGGGTAGCTCTCTTCTTCCCCGACGGGCTCAGGGTCCCGCCAGTTTCTAAGGAGCCCAGGGAACCAACTCTGGTGGGGGCGGAGGGTGGGGATAGCAGCCTGTGACACTGAGATTGGCCAGGTTGGGTGCACATAGCCCCCGACGAGCTGCCCCCGCCCCATCCCCGCTGCCGCAGTCCCGGGGAAGCGCGGAGGAGGAGCTGCTCCCCGACATCGTGGCCCACGAAGGGGTGGGTGGCGGTCAGAGGCGGTCTCCCCCGCCGGGTCCGTTTCGGCCCAGACAGCTCAGCCCGCTTTCAGGGCAGCCATTGTCATGGACACCCCCAAGGCTATAAAACCAGGTATCCAGGCGGGCGGCAGCTCCCGCGCCGCTGAGCCCACCAAGTAAGGAGCAAGCGCCCTGGCGTGGCCCGGCCCCCGCGAGAGGGGAGGAGGCGGAGGAGCGGCGCCAGCAGATGAGGAGCGGCGCGCCCCGCCAGGGCTAGAGGCAGGCGCACACGGCGGGCGCCACCGTCTCATCGGGGGAGCGGGGCTGCCCCGGGTGCGGGTGAGTGGCGCGGCTCCCAGCCACGAGGGACTGAGAGGCGCCGGACACCGGAAAAGCAGCGGGAGAGTCAGGAGGGGCCTGAGTTTCGGTTCCCGTCGTCTCGTGGCGGGCCAGGTGCGGAGCCCGGAGTAGCAAGCAATCTACACCTTCAGGCGGGAAGCTCAAGAAAGGAGCAGCGAGACACCAGGAGTGCAGCCCAGGAGCGGCAGGGCAACTGGGGACCGAGCCGGAACCTCAGGACCCTCGGCTTCAGCCGCCCACGCAAGGAGGGGGCTATACCGGAGCGCCCGGGAGCCCGGCGGGGCGCGGGAGCAGGGGCGCCCCCGCGCGGAGCTGCCGGGCCGCCTGGGCGCGGCGGCCGAGGCCATGCTTAAGCCCAAGGACTTGTGCCCCCGAGCGGGTACGCGCACCTTCCTGGAGGCCATGCAGGCGGGCAAAGTGCACCTGGCTCGCTTTGTCCTGGATGCGCTGGACCGTAGCATCATCGACTGCCGCGCGGAGCAGGGCCGCACGCCGCTCATGGTGGCCGTGGGCTTACCAGACCCCGCGCTGCGCGCGCGCTTTGTGCGACTACTGCTGGAGCAGGGTGCGGCAGTGAACCTGCGGGACGAGCGCGGCCGCACAGCGCTCAGCCTGGCGTGCGAGCGCGGCCACCTGGACGCCGTGCAACTGCTGGTGCAGTTCAGCGGCGACCCCGAGGCGGCCGACTCGGCAGGCAACAGCCCGGTGATGTGGGCGGCCGCGTGCGGCCACGGGGCGGTGCTCGAGTTCCTGGTGCGCTCCTTCCGCCGCCTAGGCCTACGCCTCGACCGCACTAATCGGGCGGGTCTCACGGCCCTGCAGCTGGCGGCCGCCCGCGGCCACGGGACCTGTGTGCAGGCCCTCACAGGGCCGTGGGGCCGCGCAGCCGCCGCCGCCGCGGCCCGGGGCTCCAACTCTGACAGCCCCCCTGGCCGTCCGGTCCCCGCGCCCAGCCCGGAGCGCCGACGACCCAGCCCCCGCCGCCTACCGCGGCCTCTCCTGGCGCGCTTTGCCCGAGCGGCGGGCGGCCATGGTCACGGCGGCGAGGCTGGCTCGGGGGGTAAGGGCTTCGGTCGGCATCGGGCACAGGGCTGCGAGCGCCCGGAGCTGGGCCGGAGCATGAGCCTGGCGCTGGGTGCCGTGACCGAGGAGGAGGCGGCGCGACTGCGAGCGGGAGCCCTGATGGCCCTACCGCACTCGCCCCAGTCCTCGGGGGCTGGGCGGTGGCGGTCACAGGAGGTGCTGGAGGGAGCACCCCCAACCTTAGTGCAAGCCCCCATTGGTCTTAGCCCCCACCCCGAAGGCGATCCCGGCTCTGGCCGCTTGGGTTTGCGCCGACGCTCCACAGCTCCAGACATCCCCAGCCTGGTCGGGGAGGCATCTGGGCCCGAGAGCGGCCAAGAATTAGAGCCCAATGCTTTGCCACATTCGGTGCCCGGGCCTCAGCCTTGGCAGGGGGGCACGGAGGCCGTGGTGCTGCACGCTCAGCGGTAAACAGCCTCGAGGCTGAGTCCTGCTCCCCCCACCTCCCAATCTCTGCTCTACTGGGATTTCTTTTTCCCAGGCCCCTCACTTTCCTGGCAGTTTCTTACCCACAGAGCCTAGAACTTGTCCCTACTGCTGAGATGAGACCTCCCTCCCTCAGCCCTCTCTCTGAAAGGGACCCCATCTTATTTCTCTTTTGTGCTTGTTGATACTCCCTAAGTCTCACATTTTCTGAAGGCTTGCTGTTGCTGTTGTGAAAGCAAGGAGTAGAAGACTGGATCCATAGGCTACAACCTTCCAGCTGGACTTCCTTCCCTCCTTGCTAAGGTGCAGTCCAGAGTCCTTCTGGCTCCCACAGGGTTTCCTTCCCCTTGGAGGGTTTTCTCACACTCGCATCAGCCAGGCAGAGATAAGAGTTGACCTCTAGAACAAAGGCCTAGTCTCCCCACTCCAACTCCAATGTTGCTGACAATAATGCCCCACACCACCTAAATCTCCCTTCCCCTTAAGTGCTGGAGTGTTGGAGAAGGGGAGCCCTTCTGGACAGAAGGAAAGGAATCTGGAAGTTTAGTTTTTTTTTTTCTGGGGAGAAACTCCTGCCTCAAGCAGGACTGAAAGCAGCTTTTGGGGGTGGCAGGAATGCCAGTTGTCCCTTGAACCAGCAGCTGAGTAATTTTAGCTCCCTCTGCCTGAGCCAGATCCAAAGATTCAACTTCATTGACAATGTGGGGTCTTCCGCCCCCTCCCCTTGCCCAGCCCAGTTCTGGGCTCTTGAGTGATTTCCTCTCACTTTCAGAGACCTGAAATGAAAAGAACGTAGCCCTTCCCCCGTCCCCACCGCCTCCCAGCTCCCCCGTCCCGCACGTGGGTGCTACCGCAGGGTGGAACGGTTGCGAAGGCTTTGCTTAATTGTATTGCTTCCAATCCTCAAAGAACTCATGTTTTGAGTCTTTGTATGTGAAGCTGAAAGCAGCGGGTCTGATCCGAGGCTTAAGAACCTGACAATGTCTCTTTAAATAGAAGCTCCGCGAGGGGGATAATTGACTGACGTGTTTGCCACGGTAAACGGCTGCGGCGCGAGGGAGTCTGAAGCCCACACGAGCCTCAGGTCCGGGTTTAAATTATATCAAACTGGCGAGAGCTAGAAGGAGGCTGTTAAACGGTTCTTGCTTCTTGCTGGGCCGTTAATGGAGGGCAGGGCAGATGATGGATGCTAGAGGTCGAGACCAAGGACCCCTGCCTCTGCCCCAACGCGTGGGACGCAGGCTCGGCCCAGCTTCAATACTGGGCAGATTAGTGAGTCAGAGGCAACTGTGGAGAGGTGGTTAATGGCCTTTTCCTGGCCTGGCCCTTGGTCCCCTCCATCCTCGCCCCCGCCCTCTTTATGTCAGCCAAGTGGGAGGGGTCCGGAGGGTCTGGCGAATCGAGTGCCCTGCGGAAGCGCCAGCACACGAACCCGCGCGCCCAGCGGTTCGTGGTAGCGGTGCGTGGGGGAGTTTTTTGTGAATCCCTGAGGTTGAGTTTGCAGCCACTCACCCGCCGGCAGTGGGGTCCTTTCAAGACATCGATCTGTTGCAGAACGGAAGGGTTATCGCCAGTAACTCTAAGGAAACTGCCCAGAGCGAGAATAACCTGTGATGAGAAATTGGGCCTGCGGTGAGGGGTGGGTGATCAGAGGCCCGCCTCGTGTAGGTGTCAGACGCTTCCGCAGGGCTTCCATCCCTCCAGGGTCCGCGAGGCTGCCCGGGCCCAGACTCTGGACGTGATCTCTGGTGCCCCCTGGTGGCAATACTGCGCTCTAGTTGTCCCCTGGCTCGGAGTTCAGACTTCTGGTTTTGTTTGAAATCACCGCTGTGTACTTCTCCGTTCCTGTGCACTTACCCATGGAATCCTCTTCCTCTTGTAGTATGTTAAATCCGGATACTTGAAGTCATTTCACAGGGACAATGAACAAAAAACTCACATGTGGAGTAGCAGGAGCCCAGACCCTTCACTTAGGACCCCGAGATCTTCCAAGGCTGCATGTGGAGAGCTCCTGCTGACTTCTGAGAGACTGGGAGCTTCCAAGTGGTCCCTTGTGATTTCTGAACCTACTGTTAAGAATCAGTGGGGCCTACTGATTCTGTACTGTTTTCTTCTGATGAGATTTGCTTTCGTTTCTGGGGTGTTTTGCCTTTCCCCCCACTCTTCTCTCCCTGAATATCTGCCTCTCCTCAGTCCCACTGTCTGAGTGGTTGATGAACTGAAAAGTTCTGAAAAAGCGCCTGAAAAGCCAGAGAGAGAGGATATGGGGTGGGATGGGGGGTGGTAACTGGATGTGCAAAGTGCAAACTCCTTTATTCCCCTGATCCTTGCTTGCTCACTTATCCTTTTCCAACTGTGTTTAATTTTTATGAAGTTTTTAATGGTGTAAGAATATAAGTATTTTGGCTTCTTCAAAACACCACATTGAAGACGTGGGTCTGCGTTGCATGTTGTGTTGAAGGTGCTGTCGTGTTTTAAGTGTTGCTGACATGGGGATTTCTGGTTGAAGGTCACCGTAGGCCCTCTCTATTGGGTAAACAACTTCGAGGGCTCCTCTGTGTGGAGTTGCCAAGGGTTTGATGCTTGAAAGTGCTGTTTCTAAAAAACCACAGCAGATCTTTCCTGTCTGAACTAAATTGTGTATTTTGACTGCCTTGCTGTTCTTGCAGACTTCTTACCTGGCCCAGCTCTGTGCAAAACTTTGATGTTTCACCACAATTCGCTCTCCTGAACTTCCTCTCGTTGTCAGCTCCAGAGCATTGAGGCTGGGGTCCTCTTGAGCTCACTCTGGTCTAGCAGAGACGTTTTGAAACATTTTGCTTTTCCAATTCTTGTTGCTTTCATCGTTGTGAAGTCACCTGTGCCACTGGAGCTGATGTAAGCTCAGAACTGGTCTGTGTGTGAGGCTAAATGACACAGTGCACATGCTTTCGGAATGACACTGCAGTGGAAGGACTCTTAGAACTCAAAAGAACAGTTAATAAATCCAGTGTTCTTCAGTTAAGAGGACTGGTGTCTTTTTGCCTTGTCAACCACTCCCGACTGTGGGCACCCGTTGGGAGGGGGAAGGTCCTGCCTTCTCTCAGCCTCCTTCTCTGCCCAGCCCACTGCAGCTGCCTCCTGAAGGTAACAATCAGGTGCTGCTGAGCTGGTGGGATGGGGACCCTCAGACCAGGGCAGCTGTCTACGTGGGGTTGTGGTAGGGAGCTGTGGGGAGAAAGTCTGTGGGACTTGCTCCTCCTAGGTAAGGGGTTTCAGTGACCCTGACAGAGAGAGGGTAGGATGAGACCTCAGGAAGGAAGTGCTAGAATCAATGTCAGAGCTAGAAGTTTAAAGACCCAGGTTTCTTGATTTCCCGTTGTGCTCTTCACAGCTCCTCACGGTCTCCTTCCTCTCAGAACCAAAACAGAGACTGCTTTCTCACTAGAGGCATTTCCAGGCCACTTCCTGTAGACATCTTGAGGAGAGCCGCAGCTGACTTTCTGGGGGTGGGAGAAGCAAACGGGGGAAGGGAGATGCTGCTCCAGAGAGTGGTCACTATCCCTGGTGGCTGCCCCGGATCCCCCGTGGTGGCAAGCACGGCCCATGGCCCTGGCTTTCTGGGTTGAGTTCTTCTCCCCTGGGAAGGAGCCTTGTCTATTTTTCAGCTCATTCAGCCCCAAGGGCCTTTCACTTCCTGTTTCCCTCCTTCTCGGCCTTCGTTGCCACCAGAGAGTTGGATTTTCTGTGAATCAGAATGACCACTGGGGAACTCACGTCGGGGAGGAGGGGGGCCACCCTGGACACCCACTGCAGTGTGTCTAGTTTGAAGACAGCCTGGCTGCACTCCCAGAGACAACACGGAGGCCAGAGGTTTTGAACACTCAGTTTAATTTAAAACAGGCACAAGTGCAAACAATTCACAAAAGGGAAGATGCTTTTGTTTTTTAAAACTCTGACCCTTAAAAAAAAGTTCTTGCAATTTTTTTCTTTTTGCCCCAAAGCAGGGCTGTAGGGACAGAGGAATCTAAAAATATTATCTAGATAGGGTCCGGACACCTGGAGTTCTTCCCTGGGATTCCCTGTCTCACAACAGCCCTGAAGGCTGGGAGGACAAGGAGACAGGTGTATGAGGAGGAGTTAGGGGTGGGTGGTCTGCACAGGTGGGGTGCCCACTCCAGTGACATGATGGCCCCCGGGAGCTGGTTCACCTCCCCCAGACCAGGATTTTGAAATGAACCGGTCCCCCAAGCACACACAAAAAGGAGCGGGTCCCTGATGACCTGGTTGTTGAGATGAAGCTCACAAAGTCTGTTCTCTCACCATTCTGGTCCCTGGCTCTCAGACTCCACACTACGGGAGAAAACTGCCAAGCACCTGGGTTATGTTCGACTCAATATAGACCTCTTCACTGGTCAGGTAGAAACTCGGGACTTAAGTGATAGGAGGCCAGGCAGGTCGCCTTCAGAGCAGAACTTAGTGGGGAGAAGATGGAGAAGCCCAACCGAAGCCAGCCGTGGGTGACCTTCCTCCCCGCCCACACTCACACCCTGTAAAGTGAGACCCCCTTTACTGCCAGTTGCCTCCTTCCTCTTTCACCCAGAAAATTCCCCTCCCTCACCCATGGCCTCTGAGCAGGCTGTTCACACCCGGGTGCTGGCTGTGCTAGGGGTGTGTTGTCATCACAGGTGGGTCAGGAAGCCAGTGGCAGGTGAAACTGCAACTTCAGGAAGTCAGACACAAAGGGAGGAAGATGGATTTGGGCAATAAACGCCTTCCCGGTGGCCCTCTCAGACCCCAGGGTTTGGAGCTGGAGCTGAGAACAGCAAGCATCCTAGTGAAGACAGGCAGTCTGCCTCTTAGGTGACCTGGGATGCTCGATTACAACTACCTTTATATATATATATAAAAAAGAACCACAGCAGCCTTTTCTGCTGTGTTGGCCACCATGGCCAGAAACGCTGGTCTCCATGTTTCATAGAAATATCCCTGTGCAAATAACAAAGGGTCATTCCGCAGAAGGGGTCTCCATCATCCCAAAGGCAACTGGGCACTCCTGGGAGGCAGAGTGACCGAGGGGCAGGTCCGGCCTGGCCCAGTGGGCTGAGGGGCAGGAGGGTAGGGTGGGGGCTTCACATTCAATCTTTGGAGAGAATACTGAGAGAGTGAGGCAGGCAGGCAGGCAGGCCTGTTGGCAAGCTGGCGGCCCAGTGTCTCCTGCCTGTGGGCACAGGTGGCAGGCGCACTCTGGGACTGGGCTCAGCAGCTGGAGGTCTGCTTGCGGTAGAGCTGGATCAAGGGCACCAGGCACTCGGGCAGCCCGGTCTGTAGCAGGAAGGGGTGGTCCAGGAGCTCCTGGGCCGTGGCTCTCTCCTGGGGGTCCCGCACCAGCATCCGCTCCAGGAAGTCTCGCAGCACTGGGGAGACCTGTGGAGGCAGGGCAGTGAGAGGAAGCCACAGCTGGTAGCCACTTGGGGGTGACCCAATTTGCCTGGCTCCACCATCATATGAAAGCCTTATATTCTCTTGTTTCTTACTTCCTGGTTCCTCCCAGGCTCAGCACTTTTTGGATTATCAGGTAGGGGAGCCTGGCAAGCTATAGCCCATGGGATCGCAAGAGTGGGACATGGCTTAGCGACTAAAAAACAAAAGAAAATCAGCATCCGTCCAGGAAAAGTGGCCAGTTCACCTATAGGGGTGCTGTTGAGCAATGGAATTAGGGTACCTGGAGAGCTAGGCTCCCAATACAGCCCATCTACCACGCTGCTTCTCAGGGCTCTCAGTGTTCAGACTCTGTGGAAAGGTACCAGTGATCCAGTTCTGGGTCTATCCCTGATCCCTTGACAAGTTGTACTTTTCTCTACAGCTCAGTTTTCTCATCTGTAGAATGGGCTAATGATAATATCTGCTTGCCTTATCTTTCACATAGGGCTTTAGTGAAGATTTAAAAAAAAAAAAAAGGTCAGGGATGAAGAAGTGTTTTGAAAACTAGAAAAGAACAAAGTGAGACCTGGAAAGAAGATTCCTTTGTTGCTCGATGCCTTAGAGTCTAAGTCAAGGGCTTGCCTCAGTTCATTCTGAGAAATATTTTAGGATAAGGCTGAGTCTTAGGCTGCTTATTTAACTTATATGCAGAGTACATCATGAGAAACGCTGGGCTGTAAGAAGCACAAGCTGGAATCAAGATTGCCGGGAGAAATATCAATAACCTCAGATATGCAGATGACACCACCCTTATGGCAGAAAGTGAAGAGGAACTAAAAAGCCTCTTGATGAAAGTGAAAGAGGAGAGTGAAAATGTTGGCTTAAAGCTCAACATTCAGAAAACTGAGATCATGGCATCTGGTCCCATCACCTCATGGGAAATAGATGGGGAGACAGTGGAAACAGTGTCAGACTTTATATTTTTGGGCTCCAAAATCACTGCAGATGGTGACTGCAGCCATGAAATTAAAAGACGCTTACTCCTTGGAAGGAAAGTTATGACCAACCTAGATAGCATATTAAAAAGCAGAGACATTACTTTGCCAACAAAGGTCCATCTAGTCAAGGCTATGGTTTTTCCAGTGGTCATGTATGGATGTGAGAATTAGACTGTGAAGAAAGCTGAGCGCCGAAAAATTGATGCTTTTGAATTGTGGTGTTGGAGAAGACTCTTGAGAGTCCCTTGGACTGCAAGGAGATCCAACCAGTCCATCCTAAAGGAGGTAAGTCCTGGGTGTTCATTGGAAGGACTGATGCTGAAGCTGAAACTCCAATACTTTGGCCACCTCATGCGAAGAGTCGACTCGTTGGAAAAGACCCTGATGCTGGGAGGGATTGGGGGCAGGAGAAGGGGATGACAGAGGATGAGATGGCTGGATGGCATCACCGACTCGATGGGCATGAATTTGGGTAAACTCCGGGAGTTTGTGATGGACAGGGAGGCCTGGCGTGCTGCGATTCATGGGGTCGCAAAGAGTCGGACACGACTGAGCGACTGAACTGAAACTGAGTCTTAGGCTGTTACAGAAAGCTGTATCCTCTGGGGAATTAGCTAATTAAAACTATCTGCTAGTTTAGGGGTCAGGAGTGCAGGCTCTAAGGACCATTTGTCTCAAAGTATTTCCTCTGTCCTCTCATCCAGCTGGGCTACGAAACCATTTTGTTATTTAGGCACCCGGCTTCAACCCTCTGGGACATTTCTTACTCGGGCCACCAGAGGGCAGTGCCATTTTGCAGCTCTGTGCTGAGCTGGCCACCAGCAGGGGGTACCCACAGGTAAGGACTGGGGGTTTGGGTGGATTTGGCAGAAAAAGGTTCAACAGGCGCGCGCACACACACACACACACACACACACACACACACACACACATGAACTTTGGTTTTAAGGGGAAACTGGCTTAGATGTGGTTAGGATATACACTGGTGGGGGGTAGGGGGGGCAAGCCAATTCTCTGTGATGGACTGGGAACATGTGCCATGGTATGGCTCCCCAACACATGGGATAGAGGGGGTTCCTGCTCAGTTAGCTTCTCTAGATTCTTTTCCAGGACATCAGGGTTTCCCACAAACTTGCTTCTTTTCTCTTTAGCCCCTGTCATTGCCTGCAGGTGGAAACTTGTCAGCGTGACCGTGAGAGGTTGTGACTAGGCTCCACACCCAGGTACAGCTGGTCCTGAAAGCCAGGCTCTGATCCTTGAAGCCTCAGGAAGAATGGGGCCTGCAGGCTCACACCTGTGTGCTGACTGACCTTGTGAGAGTTCCTCAGCTTGGGTGGGGGGCTGTCCCGGAGCCTCTTCATGGCTTGCACCGGGGAGTCACTGAAGTAGGGTGGCTCTCCATCCACCATCTCAATCACCATGATGCCCAGAGACCAGATATCTACCTGCAAGAGGAGAATGTCCCTGACTCCACTGGCCGGAGTCTGGCCCCTTGGTAGTGAGCAGCGTGCTGCAGGCGGAGAGGAGCGGCTGGTCCCAGGTCTACCTGTTGAGTTGGCTTCCTTCCTGGCCACCCACCCAGTGCCCTGCTTCAGTGACCACTGACTGCAGGGTCAAGCTGTCAGCCACTCTCTTAGAAAGGCCATCACACACAGGGAAGCCTGGCCTGCCCTTGAGCTTTGGGCACACCCCGACCTGCCCTTGAGCTTGGGGGAGAGCATTTGGGGGGCCAGCTTGTGGCAGCAAAGTCATAGACCAGAGAAGAACCAACCAAAAGGGGCCAGTGGACAGCACTGACCAAGCAGGAACCTAAGAACCGGGGGCAATCTTTGGTGGGAGGCTTTGGGGAGGACCACAAGTAGAAGAACCATGTGTCTCCAAGCCCTTCTGGGAGGACTGGGAGCTGGAGAGAGTGGTTACCTCAGTTGCATACAGAGACCTGGAGATCACTTCCGGAGCCATCCAGTACGGGGTTCCCACGAGGGACTTCCTCTTAGGGACATCTTTGCTGATCTGTGCACAGAACCCGAAGTCCGAGAGTTTCACCTGGAGTTAGGGTGACAGGGAGGAAAGGGAGTAAGAGGTGAAGGAGCCAGGAAAGGGGTGGTGGGTGTGCCAGGATGGGCAGGGCTTACCCTGCCATCGAGAGTCAGCAGGATGGAGTCACTCTTGATGTCCCGGTGGATGACACCCTGGGCGTGCAGGTAAGCCAGGGCCTGTAGCACAGCCTCACACACGGTGGCAATCTGCTCCTCATTCAGCCTGGATGTAGAAGGCATGGCCACCAGCAAAAGAGAATGGTAGCTTTGGCAGGGCAGCTGGGCAGAGGGGCTGGGCAAAGTGGGTGCCCCAATACTGGGCCCCATAGCTCCTGGGCAATGTGTGGGGGAGCCGAGTCAGGCCAGAGCCCTGGTGGAAATGGGCCTGTGCCCAGGCTGGAGACCCAGTGTCTTCCCCACTCCCCTAAGACCACCCAGGTTGGTTTACCCAGGCCGATGGGCGTGGGGAGGATGGCTCAGGACAATGTGACAGGTACCTCAATCATCTGGGACTCAGGCTACCTGATAGCCCTGCCAGGGCAGTAGTGGGGCAGCCAGTGCTGGGGTCCCGCCCTCCCAGCTGCCCACCTGACTTGGGAGACGATGTCCGTGAGGGCCCCGCCCTGCAGGAACTCCATAAGCACCCACAGCTCCTCGCCCACCAGGTAGCTCTTGTACATCTCCACCACGTTGAGGTGCTGGTAGTCCCGCATGATCACCACCTGGGGGCAGGAGGGGATGCCTGAGTGCCAGCACTCTCCCCAGAGCCCCTGCTCCCGGAGGTCCATCACTGACCCGCCACACGCCCGCCACACCCTCTCCTCCCACCTCGTTAAAGAGCAGCTCCCTGCGCTGCTGCTTCCTGAGGTCCATCATCTTGACGGCCACCTGGCGGCCCGAGTGCTTCTCCCGGGCCAGGCAGACGATGCCAGTGGAACCCTCGCCAATCTTCACGTAGCTGTCCAGCAGCAGCCGCGGGTCACCCTGGTCCACCACCATCCTGAGCGCAGCCTTGAACTGCTCGTGCGTCACAACGCCCGTGTCCTCGCCTGCTAGGGCGCCCTTGGCCACTGCGGGCTCTTGGGGCAGGTACAGGTTGCTGGTGCTGATCTGGGCATGCCGGGTGCGGGGAGACCCCGCTGGGGAAGAGCGGCCTGGAGGAGGGCCGGCGGCTGGGGCCGCGCGGAGGGACTTCTGGGGGCTGCTGGTATCCGAGGTGGTCAGAGGGCTGAAAGGCCCCACGGGCTGGTCTGAGGGCAAGGACTGGGCCTTGGCTACCAGGCTGGGGGGGCCGCCTTTCAGTGCCGGTCTGAAGGAGGAGCTGGGCTGTAGAAAGAAACAGAAAGAAAGGTTGGCTGTGAGAGCACTTCGAGCACCCTTCCCAGGGACAGGGGGCGGCCGCTGTGACCTCTGGACAAGTGTAGGGTCAGGCAGGGCATCAGATGAATGTGGGAGGTGCCTCGAGCAAAGATTTTCAAATGGAACTGCAATCAAACCACAGTCCTGCTTGAGAAGCCAACCCCCAGTGTTCCCAGGTGAGCAGAAAAAATAACAGCTGTTTATATCCACTCTGCCCCTCCTGGGAAGACAAAGCCAGGTCCCTGGAGTGTCCTGGGCTGGGTGTTTCTTCTCTGGGTGATGGACAGTCAGACCCCAGGGAGGCCACCAGGAGGCGATCCCTGCAGTGTGCTGTGGGGCTGCACAGGGAATCTGGGTCAGAGGCATCCACAGCTGTGTCTCTCCCACCCAAGGGCTCAGGTAGGCAGAAGAGGCCCTGGGCGTTGGGTGGGGGATGCAGCAGCGCAGCTGTGACTGACTCCCAGGGCAGGGAAGGAAAGTCCCAGTCGAGGTCTGATAGTCCTGCTCATTCCTGACCATGGGGAGTCTGAGTGTCTGTGCTGTGAGCCACACAGTACATGTTACCTGGGGGCGGGGGGTCCTTGGGTGTCCCCTAGACTGGGGATTTGGTGCTAGAGAGATGTGGAGTCAGGAGGGTAGGTCTGGCCAAACACAAGCCTTGGGGCCGGGGTGAGAGGTTTCCTAAGGGCCCCCTGGAGCAGCCCCTCTGGGTGATCTATACCCCCAGAAGGAAGAGAGGGCAGGGGGCCCATGTTTCTGATCTCTGGCAGGGAGGGAGGGAGAGAAGGTGGAACTGAGTGTAGACTGGGCCCCCAGTGAGCCCTTCACAGCTCCAGCCCTCCTGGCAGCCCCAGCAAGAAAGGGTCCCATTCTTGGGTTTTCCCCAAGAAGTGGTAAGGTACAACACAACACCTCCCAGGGGTACCTGGGAGGGTCATCCCTCAAAGTGACCTATTGGGGGACACTTGAAGAGCTGCAAAGGGACCTTCCAAGAATATCTCAGAGTCCATCTCCTAGACGGTTTGTCTAGGTCTCTAGAGGGTGCTGGCCCTCCCTCATCCTCACAACTGAGTCAGTGTCCAGAGAATCAACTTAAGCACTCAGCTTGGGCTGGGCTGTGTCAATCTGGGCCTTGGGTCCTACCAGGCTCAGCCAGAGCCTTCTCAACCTCTTCAGCCCCCACCCCAATCCCTAGCTTGGCCAGGCCTAGGGTTGAACAAGTGCGCGATGACACTGCTGCGGCTGCTCTGACAGCCCCAGCCCCACGTGCCCGCTGGGCGTGCTTCAGCCTCCGGCAGGCAGTGCCTGGCTTCAGCTCAGTCCTTGAGGTAAAGGAGCAGGAAAGCCTCCTGGGACTGCTGAGACCACTCCACCCCGGCCTGAGGAGCACGTAGGTAGACTATCCCATGTCCCTGCCAGTACCCAACCCTCAGCTGCCTTTCCCTAGCCTGTTGTGGTGAAGCAGTGGGACCTCCGGCTGAGGGTCAGGAAAGGACCCGGATTCTGGGCTTGCTCTGCTCTAACCTGCATGAATCCTAGGCCGGTCCCCCTCTCTGAGCCCCCGTTTCCTTCGATCTGGGGAGCTGGATAAAATGCAGAATCCTGGGCCTTGGGAATGGCCTCAGTAGGTTCCAAGAGCAGGGACTCTGCATTTTAACAAGGCCCCGGAGACCCAGGTTCGATCCCTGGGTAAGGAAGATCTCCTGGAGGAGGAAATGGCAACCCACTCCAGTATTCTGGCCTGGAGAAGTCCACGGACAGAGAAGCCTGGTCCATGGGGTCACGTTGAGTCAGACATGACTGAGCAGCTAACACACTAGAACTGGGTTTTGAGGTGGGAGGAACCTCGAACCACAATTTGAGGTGCTCTGTGATTCCATGGCTGCGGGGAGCTCATGGGGGTGCTGGGACTGGGGGAGGGGGGGCGTGGCCACCACTGAGGCTGTGGGGCCACAACCAGGAACAGAAGTACCACGCGCTGTCACCCAGAAGCAGCGCCCAAGGCTCTGTAAAAAGGCTGCCTGCTGGCCAAGGCGGATTTAATATAGAAAATGAGCAGCATTGGTGTGGGGCTGGGCAGAGCTTGGGGACGTGAAAAGCTCCTCAAGTTGCCCTCAACATTATCTTCTCGGCCTTTGACCTCTCTCCACCCTGGATCTCTAAGGAAGGCAGTGAGACAGTTTCCCATTCCTTCCAGCCTCTCCGCCTCCTGCATGAGCTCTCTGCTCTGAGGATGTGTGGACACGGGGAGGGTGGGGACAGGCCATGCAGAGGGGCTGAGGAGGGGGTCCCAAGTGTCCCTTTGTGGGCTGTGCTGCCGGTCTCCACAAGGAGGGAGCTTCTACCTCACAGAACCACCAGAAAGGACGGAGTGAAGCTTGTTAAAGCACTTCAAGAAAGCGGAAGGGCAACAAAACGTGGAATTAATTAAGGTCTCTGGATTAATTCTGGAATTACTTGTGTGAGGCCTCTCGCAGGGCAGGAAGCCACTAGAAAGAAGAGTCGTTCGTGGAGTTACAACACTGCTGCACGTTCCCTTCCCGGGCTGTGGTGACGGGGTCGGGCTCTCCAGCTGTGGGCTCAGGAGGCTGTTCTGTCAGGGCTGCACAGGCAGAGGCCATCTCATAATATTTAAGAAATAATAAAGCCATTTACAGAGGGCTTACCACTTTAACAAGGGCATTAAGTGCCTTATCTCATTTAATGCTCATGGCCCTGTGGATTGTTTTATTAAGCCATGGGTAATATTATTATCTACATTTGTAGATGAGGAAATAGGCTCAGAGAGGTTAAGTAACTTGCTTAGAGTCACTCAGTAGGAAGCCGACTTCAGCCCTATGCAGTGGTGTGACTGGGGGACCTTGCCATATAATGGAGTACGTGATACACAGCAGGTATTTAAGCCAGGTTTGCTGATTGCTGAGGTCTTTCTGACTCGGCCTTTCTGCCACTAAGTGGGACCACTGCTAAATTGCTCAAGCTCTGTCTTACCTCCTTGGCCTCCCTGTCCCTTCTTGGGGTCCTCTTTTGCTCTTTGGTCAAAGTGAGTGACTGCAGGCCAAGTGTACAAGAGCTGAGGGCAGTAGTTCTCAACTGGGGGTGATTTTTTCCCTTGAGGAGCACTTGGCAATGTCTGGAGGAATTTGGGGTTGTCCATCTGAGGGGTGCCACTAGCATCTAGAGGGTAGAGATCGGAGATGCTCCTGAATATCCTTCAATACACAGGAGAGTCCCTACCACAAAGGATTATCTGATACAGATGTCAGCGGCACAAGGTTGAGAAGCCTAGACCCAGAGTGACTCAGGGGCAGTCTTGGCCCTGCCTTTTAGGGGCCTGGCTTGAGAACATCTGTCCAGAAGGGTATGCCCAGGGGGCCAGATTGGGAACTGTGGTGTCTCTGAGTGCCAGACAAGCGCCGCCTGCCTCCACAGGTACAGGGGAGACCCTGCACCCCCTGCAGCAGCAGCCCATAGCCGGTGCCTGGTGAAGTGTGCAGAGATGGGGGATGGCCTGGCCCCCTGCTGTGGGGTGCGGGAGGGAGCCCTGGGCCATACATGCCAGTTTTGACACCCCCTTTCTCCACATCCCTGAAACCATCCCCTGCTCCATCAGGACCCTCTAAGTGCACTTTCTGGTGGTATGCACTGTCCTGCTCCTTCCTTAGTTTTCTGGGGAATGTCTCCCCTGGGACACAGCCTTCCACACCCCTCTACCCGCTCACAGGCACTCATGTTTTCTCACACAACATATCAAGCCACATCTCATCTGTTTCTCTCCAAAACCGAGCACTGCAGAGGATCCCAGCCCACTGTCCTTTGTCCCGGGGCGGGGGCTGGAGGGCACAAAGCCCAGATCGCCTCTGGCTGGCAGTGACTGAGAAGGGGTTGAGGGTCCAGGTCACTCTCAACCCCGCTGTGCCCCATGCTCGGGCGGGACACGCAGGCGCCCTCTGGGAGGGGAGACTGTCACTCACACTGCCGTGGTGGTGATTTCTTAGATCTGAACTACAATCCTCGTGGGCTTCGCTAGTGACTCAGGGCTAAAGAACCTGCCTGCCGAGCAGGAGACACGTTGATCCCTGGGTCTGGAAGATCCCCTGGAGAAGGAAACGGCAACCCACTCCAGTATTCTTGCCTGGGAAATCCCATGGACAGAAGAGCCTGGTGGGCTGCAGTCCACAGGGTTGCAAAGAGTCGGACACGACTGGGCGACTAAACAACAACAAGCTTGTGCTGCAGCCTAAGCTCATTTCTGCCTGTCCCTCAGGAAGGAGCTAAAGGATGCCTTCGTGAAAAGGCCTTCATGAGCAGGAGGTGTGAGCCCAGTGGGCCCCCCACCCCTGGCTGACTCTTTGAGTCAGTCTTCTCATCTGCCAAATGGGAAAGGATGTTACTGTCACCACGGACAGGGTGTCACAGGGGATGGAAGAAGCCAAAGCATTCTCCTCTGCCTGCCAAGAAATGTCACCATTAGGGCTTCCTTCACTGTTTCCTTTTTAACAAGAAAAATGTGTGCATTTGATACTGTCACACATGCTGAATGTTGGTTTTCCCGATGCTCCCAGACCCAGGCAAATTCAATCCTCTAGCTTTTCATATGGCACACAATATGAGAAAAAAAATAATTATAGAAATGTTAAACAGAGCAACAACCACTAGAAAAAGGGTAGGCAGGAAGGAGGGGAGGAAGGGAGGGAGTGAGGAGGAAGAAATCCTCACTAGGGAAGGGCTAGCGGGAGCATTTCTGAATGCCTATGGGATAAGCAGCACAGGGAGGCTGTGCCTGACCTCAGGAGAGCCCTGGGACAAGCAGGGGGTTGAGGCCAAAAGAAGATCTGAGAAGAGAGAGCCAGAGAGACCCTGCCCCCTAAGTCCTGGAGCACCTACTTCTGCTGGGGCCTGGGTGGGGGGTGCTGGGCACTGGGGACAGGGGAGGGTCTGGGCCTGTGGTTAAAAGTGCTGCTTTTTCAGGGGGTGTACCTGCCTCCCTGTGCGGCCTGCCTAGACACACCCCAGAGAGCAGGAGTGTCAGCTGGGGCATACTGGAGCCCCTCAGAAGCCCCTGCAAAGTGAGCTGGCTTGCAACCTCTGACTCACACGTGCTAAGCCTTTGGCGGAGGAGCACTCAGCTGGTTCAGGGTAGAATCCTCAGCTGACGATCTGTTGCCTTCCCCCAACCCGACCATGTAAGCAGGAAAGGCGGCAAGGCCTGTGTCCCCAGTGGATGCAGTGGGCCCAGCTGCCTACCCTGGTGAGAGTGGGGGCCCCAGCCTGACCTACCTTGCTCTGCGCTGGAGGGCCTGGCTTGCTGCTGCTTGGAGGGGCTGTGGCAGGAGCAGACAGGAACATGCTTCGGAATAGCCTGCGCTTCAGGCTGCTCTCCTGGGTCTTAGGGCTGGGGCTGCCCTCCCCACCAGGCCTGCCCGTGGCCGAGGCCACCAGGCAGGACTGCGGCCGGGCCTCCTCGGGGCCACGCCTGGCAGTCTTGGTCCCACGCCTGCCTGTGGCTGTGGGGGGTGAGGTCCCAGTGGGGGAACTCTGCAGACACGTAGCCAGCTGCAGGCAGCGCTGTGTGGCACCCTGGAACTCAGCAGGGCCCAGGGACTGTGCTTTGGTGGCCAGTCCATTGGGAAGGACCCGTGGGCTCTGCAGCTCGGGCCACGGCACCTGCCTGCGTCCTGCTGGTGCGCCCCCGTTGCAACTGAGGTAGAGTCCGTGGGGGTCGCTGCGCTCAGACTGGGGGCTCTGAAGGTACATGTCCGGGTCAGCGGCCCACTGCTCATCCCCCAGCAGCCCCAGGGACTGTGCCCGCCGCCGGCTGGTGGGGCTGCGGCCACGCAGGGTGTTGGAACTGATGACCGACAACTTCTGGATGTCGTTGAGCAGCCCGGAGATGTAGCCGTCTGTGGGCACCGAGCTGCCCCGTACCACTGTCTGCAGGAGGGGTGGAGAAAGAGTGTGGTGAGCCTCCTGTTCATGGTGGAGGGTGGGGGTCAGGTCAGAGAGGGGGGCCTGGAGGAGGAGGAACACCTGAGGACCTTGGTTGCTGCATCATCTACCTGTTCCTTAATTTTTCAGTCCCTTACCAGGGCTCACAGAGGGCCAGGCCTGTTCTGGGGTGGGCATACAGGAAGAAAGTTCATTCTCATGGGCTCAAGAGTGCCGCAGTCTGGCAGGGCAGACAGGTGAGTAACCATAGTGTTTAATCCAGAATGCCTGATGGTGTGGGTGGCTGAGCCTGGGGAGCTGGTGGGACTTCAGACCCTGCCTGGGGACCGCTGCCATTCTACAGCTCTATCTGTGGTCTTCTAGTGGGGGCATACAGAGGTCTCTTGGGGGACAGGCTCCAGGCTAGGGCTCTCCTCCACACACACGGGCTTTGTGGCCTCCAAACCCCGCCAGGGCCCTGACCCCAGCCCCCATCAGACTCTTCATCACGTTGTGTCCTGACCTACACAATGCAATAATCTCCTTGGTCTGTGAGAGCCCCAGGTCCAAATATTGCTTTGGGACATACTTAAAGATTGTTCATTGTTATCTGAAACTCAAATTTTATTGGGCCTCCTGTATCTTTATTTGCTAAATCTGGGAACCCTCCCACCCTGTGGGTAGGGATACCCCTCCCCCTTCAAACCAGACTCCTTTTCCCTAGGGAGAAGAGAAGAGGCTGATTAGCAGGGAAAGAAAAAAGGTAACTAATTGATAGCTGGTCATCAGGTGTTTCCTCAGGTGCCTGGGTGGTCCTGCCAGCTACCCTCAGTGGAGAGGGATGGTCTGAACTCCACCCTCTGCACTACCCCCCGCCCCACACCTCACCTTCATGGGCTGGAGCTGCACTCGGGTGATGCGTGAAGGGTCTACCACGGGCTTGGGTCGCCGCAGTGTGTCCAGGATGTTCTGCCATTGTGGGGGGAGGCCCACGAACTTGCCTTCTTTGGGGTCAAAGGAGGTGTGCACGCGGTGCTGGAAGTTCTGTGGGGCTGAGATCTCAGGGCGTTTCTTCTTTTTCTTGCGGAACATGGTGCCTGCATGGGGAGGATCAGGCTGAGTTCTGGCTTCACAGGGGCCTGGCCCCAGGGAAGCACAGGGGACTGCAGCGTGTGCTGGGGCCCCAAGCTCCCTTCCTGGGCACAGCCCCCCTGCACCAGCCCAGGCTCCCCCTACCCCACCTCGCAGGCCTCTTCCTTGGGGGAATGGGCTAGCTCCCCACAGAGCAGTCCCAGAAGTAGCAAGAGCCCCATAAATAAGCCAACACAGACTACAAACATGGAAAAGAGGTGTCTGTTTTCTTGTCTGCGCCAAGTCCCCTGCCAAGCACGCAGACTCTTGGGGGTGTGTTTTTATAAGATCCAAAGCCCATGACAAATATCATTCCACCGTCAAAGAGCTAAAAGGGGGGTGGGGAAGAGGGAAGAAAACTGGGAAACTCATTGTATGAAGTGAGCATGATCTTGATTCTTAAAGCAGACAAGACTAGCACAAGAAAGGAAAATGTGAACCAACTTCATATATGAACAATGAAAGAAAATCCTAAATAAAATTAGCAAATTGAATCCAACTATACATCAAAGGTTTTTTTTCTTTTATATCACAGTCAACTCGGCTTTGTGCCAGGATGGTTCTAAAACAAAAACTGTCAATGTGACATGCACCTTCACAAAAAGGCAACCTGCTGATTCACAGGCATGCTGCCCAGTCAGGGACCAAACTAAAAGGACCCTTGTGGTCACCAGGTGCTTGGCCCTAATTCTGGAAAGGCCCTGAGCCAAGGGCACTGCTTGGGGAGGGTGAGGGCCACTATCTTAGGGGGAAAAGACAGCCCACCTCAGCTTGGGCTCCTTTCTCTCTGGTCTCAGAACTCTGACTATACAAAACATCCCCTACAGCCAAACCTCCATCCCTTACTTTGCAGTTGGGGGTTTGCCTAAGGCCCTAAGGGCCTTCCCCCATAGTTCAGTCGGTAAAGAATCTACCTGCAATGCAGGAGATCTGAGTTCGATTCCTGTGTCGGGAAGATGCTCTGGAGAAGGAAATGGCAACCCACTCCAGTATTCTCACCTGGCAAATCCCATAGATAGAGAAGCCTGGCAGGCTACAGTTCATGGGATCACAAGAGTCAGACACAACTTAGCAACTAAACCACCACCACCTAAGGCCCTACTAAGCTCCATCAACAGCTCTGAATGACATGGGCATGCAGATGTGAGAGAGGGAGACTGGAGACCCAAGAGGCAAAGTGCTGACCCTTCCAAGTGCTGCTCTGGTCTTGCCTTCAGGGAGCCCTAGGCTAGGACCACATGTGATGGAAGATACAGCTGGGGTACCCACTCAAATACTTTTATATCTGATGTGGCTCAAAACAGCTCAATGGGTTTGTGTGTGTATGTGGGTGGAAGGTGTGTGTGCAAAAGACACTCAGTAGGCTCTTGTGTCAGATAGAAAGGTCACTTTCAACAAGACATGTTCTGTTTCTTGAATTGAATGCTTGGTTCATTCATCTATCCACAGAACTGAATATGTTCATGGCATGCTCTTTTTGCTTCTGCTCTGGAGGCAGAATTTTCCTGGTTACTTTCACAGGTTCTGGAGTAGGGTCACAGATCTAGGACGGAGCTGGTGCCCACTGGGAGGGCAGGGGGCTCAAACAGCCATAGCCTCTCCACATTCACCAAGCATGAATCAATCTGAATCCAGGTCATACCTCTTGGAATGGCCATTACTTTTGGGACCTTGAAATTCAGGAATCTATCAAACATTCCCACCAGGCAAAGCCACATGTGCAGAAGCTCCAAGAACCAAGGACTTTAGAATGAAATATACCTTTGAGTTATAGGAGAGCAGCATGAAGTCTGCCACTAATTTGGGGAGATTCTGAGTGAGTTATATAAATGCTGTGACCCTCAGCGCTCTTTATCTATAAAGTGGGGTTAATAAAAGATAAGACACAGGTTTAGGGAATGTTAAGTGAGCAGATTCCTATGAAACAGGGGCTTTTTCTCTTGCTCTGTTACCTCTCTGAGCATCCTGTCAGTTCAGGGTCCTGCAGACAGCAGAATATGAGCAGATACAAGTCTGGAAGTGATGCTCAACCCCTGTCCTCTCCGAGTCACCTGGCAGGGGTTATGTGTGATTTCCGGTACTGGGGCCCTTGCTACCTCTCCACATGGTAGACTCTTCATAGTTTGGTAAAACTTGACCTCCTCCCGGTGGTCTTTGGCTGCAGAAGAATCTCAGTTCTGCAATTCTGTTCTCAGAGCTTCTCAGACCCCCTGGATCTGTCCAGATATCTCTGAATTAGCTCAGCTGACGGTTTCACTCTCCTCTCCACTCTATGAACTCTTCTAGATGTACAGGGAACAGCCTAGAGTTGAAAAAGAGCTGGCTAGTACTCCCTCCTGCAAGGAGATCAAATCAGTCAGTCCTAAAGGAAATTAACTGAATATTTATTGGAAGGATTGATGTTGAAGCTCCAATACTGTGGCCACCTGATGGAAAGAGCTGACTCATTAGAAAAGGCCCTGATGGTGGGAAAGATTGAAGGCAGGAGGAGAAGGGGACAACAGAGGACAAGACAGTTGGACGGCATCACCAACTTGATAGATATGAGTTTGAGCAAGCTCCAGGAGATGGTGAAGGACAGGGAAGCCTGGTATGCTGCAGTCCATGGGGTCGCAGAGTTGGACAATGACTTAACAACAATACTCCCCCCAACCTCACCCAGAACACCCTCCGCCCTAACTTCTTGACTCCACTCAATGGCCCAGCATTTGCTGCAGCAATGTGCGGAGACAGCATCTTTAGTAAATGGTCTATGTGACTCTGAGATCACCCTAACAACGATTCCAGAATAAAGTTCTTCCCACAGGTATCAGGAAGGGCCTGAGGAGAAAGGAAGACAGTGTAGGGTCCTAGGGCCCAGGAGTTGGGGTGGGAGGTCAGGAGCTGACAGAAGTAATGAACTGAGCTCAACCCTCCCACCCTGCCCCCATGCCTGGTAAAGAGCTCTTAAAACTCTTGGAATTCCCAGAGTGATAAGACTGTTGAAACTTTTAGCCTCCCCCACTCCTACTTCTGCAAAGGGAAGAGGGCTGGAGACTGAGTTAATCATCAGGTCCAGTGGTAAAGAATCTGCCTTCCAATGTAGGGGATGTGGGTTTGAGCCCTGATAGGGAAAACAAGATCCCACATGCCCCAGGGCACCTAGCCACAACTGGAAAGTGTGCACACCACAAGGAAGACCTAGCACAGCCCCCCCTCCAAAAAGTCATCAACAGCCAATGATTTAATCAATTGTGCCTACTTAATGAAACCTCCATAAAACCCCTCCAGGATAGGTTTCAGGGCTGGTGAACCCAGGTGCTGAAAGGGTGTCTGGGGAGAGCATGGAAGCTCTATGCCCTTCCCGTTTCCTTCCCAGAATCTCTTTCTTCCCTTTGGCTGTTCCTGAGTTGTCTCTTTTCTAGTGAACTAGTCATAGTAAAGTGCCTTCCCGACTTCCACCAGCCATCTCAGCAAATTATCAAATGTGAGAAGAGGGTTGTGGGAAACTTAATTTATAGCCATCTGGTCAGAAGTACTGGCTTTGGAGTGGGAGTCTAAAATAGGGGATAGTTTGTAGGGCTGAGCCTGAGGGGTCTGTGATATTCTAGGTAGTTAGGGTCAGAATCAAACTGCATTGTGGAACACCCAGTTGGTGCCAGAGAGTTGGAGAAGTTATCTTAGGAGAAAAAACTTCTCATTTGATGTAAGAAGTGTTATTAGGTAAAACCCTTCAGACATCCTTTCCCATTATACATTAAAAATATCAGATTTTTATGAATAAATCTGATTGAAGAGGTACAAGGTCTCTACATGGGAAAATATCAAACATTAAAGATAATAAAGAATGTTCATAGGTTGGAAAACTCAATATTATAAAATTATCAATTATTCCCAAATTAACCTACAGAGTTATTGCAATATCAATCAAAATTACAGCATAATTCTGTTGATAGAAACTTACAAACTGTTCTATATTCTAACAATGAAAAATCAGAAAGAAATTAAGGAATCAATCTCATTCACCATTGTAACAAAAACAACTAAATATCTAGGAATAAACTTACTTAAGGAGACAAAAGAACTGTACACTGAAAATTATAAGATACTAATGAAAGAAATCAAAGATGACATAAATAGATGGAGAGATATTCTATGTTCCTGGGTAGGAAGAATCAATATTGTGAAAATGACTATACTACCAAATGCAATCTACAGATTCAATGTGATCCTTATCAAATTACCAATGGTGTTTTTCACAGAACTAGAACAAAAAATTCCACAATTCATATGGAAACACAAAAGACCCCGAATAGCCAAAGCAGTCTTGAGAAAGAAGGATGGAGCTAGAGGAATCAACCTTCCTGACTTCAGATTATACTACAAAACTACAGTCATCAAGACACTATGGTACTGGCAAAAAAACAGAAACATAGACCAATGGAACAAGATAGAAAGCCCAGAAATAAACCCATGCACCTATGGGTACCTTATATTGACAAAGGAGGCAAGAATATACAATGGGGCAAAGACAGTCTCTTCAATAAATGGTGCTGGGAAAACTGGACAGCTACATGTAAAAGAATGAAATTAGAACACTTCCTAACACCATACACAAAAATAAACTCAGAATGGATTAAAGACCTAACTGTAAGACCAGAAACTATAAAACCCTTAGAGGAAGACATAGGCAGAACACTCCATGACATAAATCAAAGCAAGATCCTCTATGATCCACCTCCTAGAGTAATGGAAATAAAAACAAAAGTAAACAAGTGGGACCTGATTAAACTTAAAAGCTTTTGCACAGCAAAGGAAACTATAAGCAAGGTGAAAAGACAACCCTCAGAATGGGAGAAAATAATAGCGAATGAAACAACTGACAAAGGTTTAATTTCCAAAATACACAAACAGCTCATACAACTCAATACCAGAAAAACAAACAATCCAATCAAAAAGTGGGAAAAAGGCCTAAACAGACA